ATATTCTAATAAATGACAACCAGCACGCAACCAGCGGGGGCAGTGGGGGGCAGTGTCGAGTCGATACCGTCGATAGTGATACCGATAAATGCTTTAGCGCAATGCACTCAATCCCCAATCCCTCAATCCATTGTGAATCGTGAAGAATGAAACGTAATTGCGAAAGGTTCTGACGTAATGAAATATGCGAAATCGTTGGACTTGATTTGTTCTTATGAAGTGAGTAAGGTTAAAAATTTCAGATTTAGCTAATTATTATGTTAGACTTTTGAAATTTGATTGGAATAAAATCCCAAAAAGAGTAAGTAAGCTAAATTTCAAAAGACTTTATCATTTCTATTAAATCCTAGGTAAGGTTTTATGATGTCATCAAAATGAGTATTCATAAGTAGTTTTCTTAGAATATGTCTCATGAGCGCCAGAAATGCAGCAATCAATCACATGCGCGTGGTAGAGATCGCGGGGGATTGGGATACGATTGGGATCGTTGATCATTGATATTTCCGTAATATTTGTGCAATATCATCGTTATTATAATAAATGTATCTGATCTGATGTGTGCCTCCCGTGCCCCCCACGTTTCATTTTGATTTGTGGGCTTTGGCGCAGTCAAATGGTGGGGTGGTGACTGTGACTGGTGAGCGAGCCGCAAGCGCCTTGGCCTTAGACCTACCTGACCTGACACTTTGACTTGACCCTACAATGAATTGTATTTATGGTCTGAACATAATAAATTATATTTATGGTCCGAACAGGATGTTTTATGGTCTCCACGTATGTGCTGGCCGCTATGGTAATTTGATTTGAAGAGTAAGGTGAAAGTCGCCTTTACGAACCATGCAAGCCATATATCAACCTAGATAATGGCCATGAAATCGTTAGTTCTGAAAGAAGGTACACTACCATCAGAAATACAAAAACCTCATCATCTAACCTGACTTTATCCTACCTAATGTAACCTAACCTTACCTGACTTGACGGGACACGGGTGGTGAGGTATAACTTATGGCACCTTTGTTATAAGTTGCACCTCACTATAAGTGCTGTTTTATGTAAAAGTATTTTAAATATCAATATGTCGTGTCAGTTTTCAAGCTGAGGAGGATATGTTCTTTCCTTTCATGTTTTTGTCTTGTGAATTTCTCCAGTTTTTAGATGGTGGATAGGGTAGGAAGTTATTGCCAAAAGGACTATGCTGTATATTATCTGTAAATGTTATATCATTCTCCATTGCAGAAATAACTGCAAACTGAAGATGGCAGAAAAGGAAGAGCCAGCTGCTGCTGGTCGTCAGGATTTGGATAAGATGATGGCTGAACCAGTTATAAGAGATCTCCCAGAGCTTGACAAGCTTGTTTCTGAGCAGGACAAGGTGGGTAGAGCCCATAGAGGTAATGACTCGGCGGGTTAACCTAATGGCATTCTCCATTATTAGCTTTGTCAACTCATATTCCTGCATAGTGTGCCTCTCATTCACTCCCCCCCCCCCCTCCTTGCCTTTCCCCATCCACAGAAGCTGGCCAGCACTGAGGAGGGCTTGCGCCGCTGGCGGAAGTACGCAGACGACTACCGGGCGCTGCGCGAGCGGCTCACTACCCTGCCACAGCAGGTGTCCCACCAGGTGACAGTGCCGCTGGGACCGCTGGCCTTCGCGCCCGGTCGGCTGGTGCACACCAATGAACTGCTGGTGCTGCTTGGTGACAACTGGTTCGCGAAGACCAGCGCGCACGCCGCCTGCGGCATCGTCGACCGTCGGCTGGAGCGTGAGTGGCGGGAGGTATTGATGTGTTGATGGGTGGGAAGGGATAGCGTGGGTAAGGTTAAAGGTATCGTCGTTTTGGTGAAATCGGACCTGAACGGAAGAACATGAAACACGAGTGAATGGCGAAAATTCACAATTCAATACCGAATTTTGTATGTTACAAAATTTGTATTTGTTATGAAACTAGCACGTTGGCTGTTGCTATTCATAGATGATATTGTAAACTGTAAGTAAGTGATGTCAAATGCATTTTAAAAGGTTACTTATTGTCATTGCATGGTTTGCTTCATTTTAACTGTATTTACTACCGTGTAAAAGCGCTTGCTTTTCGCTGGTGAGTGGTCGATCGCCTTACCATCACCTTCTGACGGTATCATACCCCTTCTAGTCAGGTCTACACTAACCCCACTTTCTCTGGCGGCAGAGTGTGATAAGACGATGTCAGACCTGGAGAAGGAGAAGGAGCTGTTTACCAAGTGGCGGGAGCAGACCACCGCCATCCAGGAGACCGATAAAGACGTCCAGGAGATCAGGGAGCCGCTAGACGAGGAAGCCGAGAAACAGTGGCGCGGTGAGTGAACGCCGAGGGCACTGCCGGGCCGCGGAGACGGGAGGGGAATGGTGAGCTGGTGGAGAAAGTTAAAGTGAGGTTGTGTTGCATTGAAAGGGAGAATGGAACGTGGCGAGGGTATCGTTAAGTGGAGCTACTTTAGTGGCATGTGTCATGTCGAGCTTTTTTTCACATTTTCATAAACTTGGAAAAGATTCGACATTTTCATTGGAAAGAATCAGCGTGCTGAAAAGTGCGTATTTTAGGGCCAGCTGCCAGATTTGGTGTTGTTTCAGTTCTGTAGTATCAACTATCAATGGGGTGTCAGCCTGTCGAGCATGGTTGCCAAAGCCTTGAGTATTCACTATTCATCTTAATGAAAAAAATCCACGTGGTATACGTCGTATATGCTAGTTATAACACCTCACCCTCTCTCTCCGCTCAGAGGAGCACCGTCGCCGGGTGGCCGAGCACAAGCAGCGCGAGGCGGAGCTGCGTCAACAGGTGGCCGACCAGACTAACGTCATGGCTCGCCTGGACGCGCTGGAGAAACTGGAGGAGCTCAGGGATGAGCTCGACAGGTACCGGACAACGGTGCTGATAGCTTGCGATTATTATTTGCCTTGTCTGTTTATCCAACAGCCAAGAGGGGTTTGTGGTTTGGTTTTGCATCCTTGACAATCATGAGGGGCCCCTAAAGCATGAATTTTCACTTATTTGGTAAAATATTCTATGGTTGATTTATGATCATACTCTGCCCGACAATACGCATTTAGATATACTTATTGTTGTAATGCAATGCAATGCAATACATCTGACACATATATTCTCAACATTCACGCTCTCCCTGACCGATGGCCGTGTCCGCCAGGCTCTCCGACGACGGTGACGACGGCGGCGGCGGGGAGGACGACGCCGCCGACTCCGCCGCCGACTCTGCCGCCGACTCTGACTCTGACGGATCGGTCATTATCCGCGAGACTCCGGAGCCGGCGCTGGACAGTGACGACGACAGCCGGCCGGCCTCACCCACCTCCCCGGCCGAGTCTCCGGCGCCACAGACGGGCGACGGCCGCCGCAAACGGGTGTCTTTCTCCGGAGAGCCGGGCGTCAACACAGTGTATATGTACGATAAGGACGAGCCCACGGGCGGGGAAGGAGACGGGGAGGGCACCCCGCCGGCGGCTGAGGACGCTGTCAGCCGGTCCCGTGAGAGCACACCTGTGTCGATCCTGAAACCGTCCGATGGCCGGCCAGGGAGCCCTCTGCCGCAGGCGTCCAGGGCTTCGGACGAGGCGGCAGCGGCTGCGGCGGCCGCCGGCGCCGCCTGGGCGGCGGATGAGGCCAAGGAGGCCGTGGCGACCGCGGCCGGACGGGTGCGCTGGCTTGGCGCGGGAGACAGCGTGCCAATTGTGTCTGCTGAGCAGGAGGAGCCTCTGCCGCCGCCGACTGCCGAGCCCGAGCGGCCCGATCTCTCCAAGGTAAGTGGAGGTGGTGAGGCTGGTGGGTGTACGCTTTGGCGAGTGGTGGTGTTTGAAGCTATGTAAATTTGCGCTGGTTCTGCCACTTGTTCGATGCTTAGCCTCCGATCAACAGTGGTTCTTGATTGACAGAAAAGCATTACCCCCGGAGCATGACCCAACAACATCAACCCCACAGGTGTTCTCATACAAGATCGAGGAGCGAGACGCGACCACCACGCCGGCCGGGCCCCCGTTGGCCGCTAGCGACGCCCCGCCTCCCAAGAGGCCTCTGTCGCGCTTCCGGGCCTCTAGAAGCCAGCTCTGACCCTGCCCGATGTTCCTGACGTCATCAACCGGGTGTGACGTAAGACGTCAATCATTTACGTTGTTAGAAGTGGTGTGTGGACTCGTACAGAGGATGTGATGTTTTTTGTAACCTGCGTATGATGTTTGTGTACTAGTTCGTTAGTCAATAGAGGTATTGAGTCTGGTATCACTCGGTGTAAGTTGTGACGCCACGTCAGAAGTCTGCGGAGCATAATTGGTCAGTCATGACGTTGAGGCGCACCGTGACTTCGTATTTCAATAACGTGGTGACAAGTTTGTAGCCGATGCGTTGTAACTCGTGTGTCGCTCTCCAGCCGGCGACCGCCAATGCCCCGATATTGCTGGAGTGATGCGCCGTCATGTCATATCCGTGCTTCAAGTGACGAGTGCTGAATGTCGTCGGTCTTGTGACGTATTTGGTCTATTGACGTCACCATGTCTAGTCGACTGTTGCTAGGTCCCAACGCGACCTACGCTGAATAGGCTCGCGGCGATGGCCGTTTTGATATTGTTTGCGCTGGCGTCAGGAGACTTCCAGAGGCAAGGTCCGCGCAAGTAGAAGCTGGCTGTGTATTTTCGCTACCTAATGCGCATCGAATCATACGTGCCTCATGTACTGAGTGTTAGACTCGCACTCGGCCAGGACCCGTGCAGTACGCGGTGCTTTTCATGCCAGTAGCGCATGGCGATATGTCAGGTTACTGACGTGTCTGATAAGCTCTGTCAAGGGCGACATCAGACCCACATGTTGACCGTTATGTATCGCATATAATGCATGTTCGAGCCGCCGGTCTGCCTGTCCCGCCAGGACCAACTTTTCCATGAATACATGTAGCAGAAGCGTATCAGATGGGAACATACGTTCCTGAGGGTATGCAAGATACCATGGACACAGCAGTAAGTACAATTCATGTTTATTGATCAAGATGTACAACACAAAACTCAGGACAATGTATGGATCGTACGTGAATTTGGAACATAATGTTGACAGCGATTTCATCCAGCCCCACCGTGCCTCTGGGTTCGACACAGGGCGCCTCGAGGCCAAAGCCCAGACGGAGGTCCCTTTAAACGCCAGCAGGGAGCGAATCGCTCGTACACGGGGGTCGGGTCCCAGCCTCACCCCTCCATGAGCACAAGTCTCCCCCGAACACACACCGGGGACGCGACACAGACACTCCGCGGCCCAGACCAGTGTAATGCCGCCTACACACAGCAGCTCTCTCGCTCCGGCTCTCGTCGCCCCGCGACGCTCGGCCAATCGACGCACCGTCAGCGGTTGACGGTGCGCGGCGCCCGGTGAGCAGAACAGAGATCGCTCGCAGCCACCGCGGCGTCACGGCGGCGCGAGAAAATAAAACAAAAAAACAACCCACCCCGCACGCGTATACACCCACCTTCCCCACACAGGCACGCAAACATACACTCAAAAACACAATCGGCTATGAACTGTGGTTCGTTGGGACAAAATATCGTCGGCAGTGTCACATCGTTGTGATAAACGCACGCTGGGTGGAGGCGAGGCACGGCTAAAAGGCAGTTGAGATGATAAAACTCCACCGGCGCTGGTAAAAGGGCTCATTTCATTGGAAAAATTCCTAGATCTGCTATAAACCGGTTAAAACTGGCGGTGCGGCCTGCTTGGTTTCAGACCGTTGCGCCGGTTCGGTCGCGGCGCAGTGACTTCACACGCCCCCCAGAGCGCTGATGGCGGACCCCTCAGACGGGACGACCTCACGTCGACAGAGATCTTTGGAAACCGCCGCCGGGCTGCCGGCGACAATGCCCGTCCAGAGCTACTCTACCGATGCCGGCCGATTCCTACCCTACCCGACGCACTGCCGGCGGCCCTGCCGCTCGCCTCGCAAATAAATAACTACCACAGCGCCACCACGCAACTGATAGTTCGGCAGCGCGCCGGAAGATGGCAGTGCTATCTGAGCGCGGCCGGCCCCCACGAGGACCGCCGCTGTATTTTTTATATGGCGGACTGCACCGCCGCGCCCGTCTCGGCGCTTCTGACTGGTCGGTGGCTCCGGGTCCCGCCGCGGTCCCACCACGTCCCATCGTGACCCCGTCGTGGTGCGGACGGGTCGCTCAGGGCCGGTGCCGGCCGCCCGAGTCCGGAGGGGTCAGGAAGTCGGGTCGCTCGGCGGTCGCCTGAGGAGACATGCAGAGCTGGGCCTCCTGCTCCTCGGACCGCTTCTGCGCCTCCTCCTGGGGAGACAGGACGGACGTCAGTCACACTTCGTACGCATGGACACAAAGCTAGCATGAAATGGCACGAAGAGCTAACAGTCTGGATAATCTTCCGCGGATCTACTACAAGCAACGCTAGCTGCTGGAAGTAATGTTAGATCGGTCCGAGAGGATTCAGTCTATTCCCTTTAGAAAACAGCTAGAAAACGAAGTTCTACCTAATCCTAGTGTTCATCGAATAGACGAAACCAGCGACTTCGAACCCAATACATACCCGTCCCTCACCAATTCCTCACAGCAATCCCCAACTCTGCCCCGCGGAGCCCTACAGCTGCTCTCCCATCACCATATATCCACTCACCAGGATCTGTAAGTTGACGGCGTGGATCTGGATATTGTGTCGATCCGTGTCGGGCACTCGATCGAACGGCGGCACGTGACACAGCAGGTGGTCACGCAGTGTCACGTAGAATGGGCCCAGCCAGGTGACACAAGGCGACAGCTCGAACCACGAGTAGCCTGAGAAGGACAGAAGCGGGCGAGAGGTCAGCGAGTGACACAGTGGGAATCAGGTGCAGTCAGCAGTGGGCAGTATATTTGTCCTTTCTAAAGCATTTTTTCCTAAAGCATTTCTATTGCTCGATTCAAGATTGAGTGATCTATTAATTTCGATAAAATCAATATTCACTTATGCAAGATTCGAAATGCAGCCCGCCATTTTTCGACAACTTGCTTAGCACACCAGTCAGACCAAAAATTCACGAATGGTGGCATGTGAAGCTAAAAATGCGACTAACTATTGACACATATTCATATGTCACCTAAACAACTTAAAAACAGGCGCATCTCTCGGCCGGCGACTGTGTCTCTCACCGGAGATCCTGATGGTGAGCTCCCTGTTCCTGGTAAAGTGGAAGAAGGCGGCGCCGGCCAACACACCGTACTTGAACTGGATCGAGGCCATGTCCATGACGGCCAGGTCAATGAGCTGGCACATCTGGACAAACTGGAGCGCCGAAAACTGCGGACTGGTGAACTCCTCGGCCGTCACCGCGTCACCTAGAACGGAGGGGAGGGGAGGGAGTTATAACCACGTCACCTATCAGGGGGAAGGGGAGGGTAGGCACCGCGTCACCTGCAAGGGAGAGGGGAGGGTTATTGAGTGCTGCAGGGTATGATGAGTTCGAAGTGTCTGGCTCTCCCACAAAAGAACCACTCACGGGTGAAGAGCAAAGCCAGTTCTTCGTATAAATACTGCATCCGCGGTGAAACACTAGGATGGAATGAAATATTGAGGCATAATTCTTCGCATGCAATAGTTTGAATGAATGAAATAATTGCCAGTAGGACGTTACGCTAACGAACATTTGGTTCCATCAACAAACCAAATTTGATGCCTCACAGCAGACAGAACTTCACATGACCAATGTCCGGCATCACAGGCTATCAAACTGAGCTATATAACAAAAGGCGTTCCTACTCACCGCATCTGGTTTCCTCCATGTTTGTGAGCTGCAGATAGGTGCCCAGCCAGTGCTGAGGAGTGACTGGTGACAGGGACCAGTTCAACACCTGCACAGAGGGAAATATAAGTCAACATTTCGGTGCATAAATGGCCTAGGATTTTCGTGACTCGGCGGCTTGCACTACCCTTGTCAGCTAGATACACTTTGATGTCTAGAGTCCAACAAGGATATCAAAGTCTAAATATAAAGGAGGAAGTTTCAAAATTACTGGATGTGATCAGTTTGACAATTGAACAACTATACTCGCTTTCGACTACAGCCTTGATCCATGAAATGCGAAAAAGGTGGTCTACATAATTAGCCGGAATTCGACACCACTTTTGGACCGATGAGCTGCAGGACGTGGTATGCGAGCAGGAACATTATATCATGCATGCGCGATACGTTTACAATGATACTGACCTGACACAAAAGGTTTAATTATTTTACTTTTCCTAAAATGCACGAAAAGAAGCACATCAAACTAAATTGGCCTCTCCACAATAAATTAGTTACAAACTGAGGTTACATAAGGAAAAACTGCATTAGTCTTGCAGCTAGGAGCACAAGTCTACCAACACAACTGGCATGCAAATACAAAATAGGGGGACAAAATCAGCTGACAAAAAGGGAACTGGTAACATTAAAAATGGAAAGTGGAAATCAACTCACTGACAAACACACACAAAAAAAAACTTATCGTTGACACGGAACAATGGTAAATTCCAGTTTCATACCTTCGCTGATCTGACCGCGCATAGACAGAAAGGCAAAGTGTCAGTGTCTATCACCAATCATACAGCTGCCATTGGCGTAGGTATGAACAGACCGTAAGCATTGATAACCCCCACATACAACGTAGGATTGCCCATCTCAAATACCGCCACCAGCCGTGAGACCATTCACCAGAGTAAAGCCACAGCGAGTAACCAATACAACCTCAATCATCCAACCACATTCCAATCGAGAAACCCAAATGTAATGTCCAAATGTAATCGCCCAAATGTAATCCAGTCGAAACATTAGACGCCAAGCAAACCCCAATCATCCACTCAGCCAAGAGCCATCCCAAACCCATTAACTATCCCCATCACCACCGACCACCATGGTATCCGCCGCCTCTCCAAACCACCCACCATCCCCTCCTGACATACCTTCATGATGACCAGCTCCTTGTCCTGAATGTCCTCCTGGGTACAGGCGCCGTCTGTGACGTAGGCAAAGTCGGCCACCTTGGGCGGGTAGATCTCCTCCAGCTTGGCGGCGATCATGAGGCAAGTGATGCCTGCAGGCATGGGAACACACGCTGTGTGAACGAGACCGCAAACGTACACCATAGACCGCAAACGACATCACCCTACATAGACCGCGACATAACCAGGTGGTCGAATGTAAATCAGTCAGCTTCCATTTGCCCAAACAATTTGTCGCTTGGCCAGCTTTAACCATTTTCCGATGTTCAGCTTCACTTTTAAGACCATCAACTTGCCAAATCAGCTCGACATTTTTTTTTTCTAGTCACCCACACGATGCGAATATAATTGACTATAACCCCACAACGACCACAGCCGTTCTCCAAGAGTACAGCGGAAGCTATAGCATCTGCACAGTGCGCCATCAATGCCGCCCCTGCGTCAGTCTCGTCATCTCACCTCCCAACTGGAGCTGTGATTTAGGCAGGTCCCGGGCGCGACTTAAATAGCGGTCCAGAAAATCGACCGCGAGGTAGAACGTCTCCCTGTGTAGTCGGTGTACTTCACACACCTGACGAACACAGGATGAGCAGAAGTCAGACGGGAGAATAACAGGGGTCAAATGAGGACTAACTAGAGGAAATCTGCTCATTCGTCGCTGAAGTTCGCCTTGCATCTTATAAAACAGCATGTGGTATATTTTGAATAGTTCAATGCCATCCAGGTTTGATTCACTACAAAAACTAAACATGTTGTAACTCCCTAAATGATCAAAAAAATTCTCGTTCTTCGTTTAGCTCGCTCGTTGTATTCGAAATACCCACCTCAATCAGCCAGTCGATGAGAATGGCTCGCATGTGGGGCTTCAGCGCCGGGTGGTGGCTCATGAGGGCAGGGTCCCGCTTGTAGCTGTAGTCCTTTGTGCGCATACTGTTCCAGAGATCCTCGGCCTCCGTCCACTGCAGATCGGGCAGCGGCGGTACCCGCTGCCGGATCTGCGGCGGCATCACCTGCGCCTCACGGAACCTGTGGCCGGTCGCGAGTTACCTAAGTGTGGAATTATAAGTCGATTCTAGGGCTCTGATTGGTGACTTTGGTCGGGGGATGACGCTTATAGCATGACGTCACTCGCGTACTTGGCCGGACCAACGGCGCGGCGCAGGCGCGCCGAGCCAACCCAGAGGCTCTCAAACTCAATTGTACAGATCCTGCGCATTGAATGGCGAAACTTCGGCGAGTTCGCTTGAGTTTGGAAGCCCCTGCCAGAGAACTGGAGACGGCCTGATTATTTGCTCGACAATGGGCAGCGCAGATGGCGATTGACGGTTCCAAAAAGATGATAGGGAAAAAGGGGTTGAGGCTTGAGCAGTGAATTATAAGCCTGTTGCATAGCTGAGTGGTAAATTGTAAAATACTTAACCCGCGCCCTGCTGGGGGGGGGGTGTTTGAACACCCCCCCTTGTGGTTTTTCGCGAATATCTCAAAAACGGCGGCGCGGAGCGCCGCCGTTTTTGGTACACCTTATCATACATCAATTCTACACATGTTGTGAAAATTTCAGACCAAGGTCATTCAAGGTCAGGTCACCAGGTCACTTGAAGTGACCTCACCTCATAAAAAGTTTCAATGTCTGTCATAGCTACACCGAGTGACCGATCGCTTTGAAACTTTCAGCGATTGATAAGGGTAACAGTATCTATAAAATGTATATCTCGGAATTTTGATATCGGTGACCTAAGGTCAGGTCAATTTTGCGACCTCCCCATTATAAGTCAATGGGAGAAAATTGAAATGCGCCTCTTTTGGACGGAAGACATTATAAACACTCCCAAACACTGAATTACAAGTGGTTTAGACACACTGAACATGAAAATGGTGTCCGTGACCCTTGTTTATGCCCTGAGGTCATCTTAGGTCACGAATGGTATCTAACAGTTTTTCGCAAATAACTTTTGATAGAAGCATGCTAGAGCGATGAAAACGCCTTAGATGTGTTCAGCTCGACGATACGGATCGACTGATATGCAACATGACCCTTTCCGGTCAGGTCATGACCTTGACCTGAGGTCAAATTTTCAAGTTGACCTTTCAAGGTCAAGTTATAGTTCATTCGATGCGTCTTGACGAGAGGAACACGATGCCGGTAAAAGTAAGCTCGTACAAGGCTTGGGTCAAAAGTTATTGCCGAAAACTGTTTCCGAAAAAATCGGCTATTTTTGCAGTTTTTGCCCCCTGCAGGCAAAACGGTTGACGTTAGGTCAAATCTGAGAGAATTACTCAGAAAGGGCGTTAATAGGGCTATCGAATGCGCTTTTCCGCGGCGCTGTAGCTCTATTGGTTCCCGAGTTATGCGTTGGCTTCTTGGAAATTTTCGATATTCGACCTGGAAATCGGCGAAATTTTGCCTTCAATGACCTCTGGTGACCTGACCTTTGACCTGACCAAAAAATTGACCGAAGTGATTTCGTCATTATTTTTTACGCTCTTTCGAACGCCGCCTTCCGCGTATCGCTACGTGGCCCAGGAGCCGAGTTACAAGGGGGGTGTTCAAACACCCCCCCCCCCCAGCAGGGCGTGGAAATCCAGGACCCCCAGCCGGGCGCGGGTTAAGGTTTGAAGAGATGCAGTGTAGTTTAGCCGATTCAGGGGCATTCTGCCGAGTTATGTAAGGCGGAAGGGTCGCAACTCGCAAGTCGTTTGCTTACATGATTGCCTGATTAAAATGTGAAGCGTACCTAATGTTTAGTTGATAATACAGCGAGGTTGGGAATCTGCTCAATCCATTTCTTCTCTGCAATAGTGCATTCGCCACTCTAATTCATTGTAAGAGGCACTGGGCTGCGCCGCCTGCTAATTATTCCGAAACCACCAGTGAATTGTCACAGTCACTCACAACAACAGTCGTGCGCTGGGGGTCCGCCAAGTTTGAGTGTGCTGCAGAATGCAGACTGGACCGCCGAGAATATAACACTTCCGTCTCCCTGGGCGAGCGGCGCATTGGAGCCGAAGGAAACTGCTTCAGTTTTTTTTTGTGGGGAAGATACCATGTTTGAAAATTATGTTCTGGAATGATGCAATAAGGAAAAGGACGGTTTCTTGAATTGAGGGCTGTGGAGAAGAAGCAGATTTTCTCATTTCCTACCCGATACAACGCGAAAAGACGCAAATGTTGCACATTGGGCTTAATAAGTCTAATAAAAGATAAGGGACTTCGTGAATCATGCCTAACTGACCGCGACCCAGTTATTTGCCACTGCAGGTAGGTACTAGGTAGGTAGATACTCATTTGTAAACAGAGCGTTCCACCAACCCTCGCCAGAAATTCAATCAGCAGTTGCTTATCTTAAAACGTTTGAGTGCACCTAACAACCTTTAAAAATGACGTCCTCCCTTTCAATGGTTCGTTCGAAGACACAAAGCCAGAATCAGCCAAGCAATATCGGAATCCATTGCGCAGTGTGTCGACTGTCGGATGTGCCCATCCACATAACATAGAACACACTGCTAAATGCAGGTACGCTCACCTACACATTAGGTATTCGAAGGACTTGATAGCTCATACACATGGAAGAAACGCATGAAATGTGATTAATAGCTGCAGCAGAAGTTTGGCGTCCGATGCCTCTTCGCCAAGTTAAGACCATGCCAATCTCGGCCAGTCTGCCGCCGCGCCGGCACTGGCCGTGGTGTGACGTCATCCGGCCGGCTCGGCGCTGGGTAGTTCCACACTTAGGTAACTCGCTGGCCGGTCAGGTCAGCGGTCAGAGGCGGAGTCAGCGAACCGGTCAGGGGCGGCGCCACGCCAGCGATGAAAAAAAAAACAGACCACGACCTAAAGAAAGTTTTGGCCACCCGTGGCGGGATCATGCTAAAGGCCTCAAAACAGGCATAAAATATTCCTGTACTAACATAGCGTCTCGGTCAAAGTACTCCACCAGTATAACGCCTTTTGGGGCGACTAACGGAGCGAGCGAGAGGGTGGGCCTTGCACGTGCGAAATTGCGAGGGGGTACTTCCAACTGACTTGTGCACGGCACCCTACTAACCGGTCTCTAGCGATGTGCCAAATTTGGGCACAATCGGCCCAGCCGTTCTCGAGATCTGGAAGCAGCACCCTGCACGTGCGCACGTGCAAAATGGGTCCCAACTGACTTGTGCACGGCACCCTACTAACCGGTCCCTAACTGTGTACCAAATTTGAGCGCAATCGGTCCAGCCGTTCTCGAGATCTGGAAACGACCCCTGCACGTGCGCACGTGCAGCAGCACCCCAACTCTGGCACATGGATATGCAGTGCCTAGTGGGTGCCTACCTACATGCCAACTTTCAGCGTAATCGGCCAAGTAGTTACCGAGATATTGCAACAATTACAAAACTGACACCTCTTCGTTTTGCGCGTGGCACGTGCATAAGGGGTCACCACCCACATGCATCGGGAATAGTCCAATACTTGGTAGAAGGAATGAAGCTACCCTACAAAAATTACCCCGTGTAAATCGGTCAAGTGGTTGCTGAGATATAAGCCTCGCAAAAGCGTCCGCACGGCCGGCCGGCCGGCCGGCCGCTCATACTCAGAAATTTCCGTTATTCTACGTAAGACTCCGCTCGCTTCGCTCGCTCCGTAATAAAAAGCAAAACACACAATGGAACGTCTTATCAGCGAACTCCCTTCAACCTAGCGTTAGGAAAACAGCACTTTTAGAAAAAAACTCCATTTTTTCGGTGACATCAACCATCAACCGACTAATGCCCGATCCCTCCCGAAGGCACTCACTTTGACCAGCTCGAGGGCGGAGGCGTGCGCGCCCGCTGCCGCTTCCACTGGCTATCGAAGCCGCGCAGAAACGTCCTGCTCGAGTCCGAGTCCAGGCTCTCCATGGAGCCGGGCGTGCTGGCCGCCAGCGAGCTCAGGCTCTCCCCGGCCGCAGGCGTGCTCGAAAAACTGTCGACGCTGAGAGCCGGTGAGCTTCCCCAGCTCTGCTGGCCGAGCTGACTGACCGCTGACGGACCGGCGCCCTGGTCCATGGCCGACACGGGACTGTCGGTCGGCCGCCGCCGCTTGGAGCGCGTCAGGATGGCCGGAGCCGCGCGGATCGGTCTCGAGCTGCCCCTGAGGAGGACGGGTGGCGGGTCAGGTGGGGTTCCATCGGGGTCACGTTAGGTCGTCAGGGTTCAGCACGTGAGGATAAGTGGCCAATAACGGAAAAGTTCGATGAGGATGAATTTCGAAACGGGCTTGATTGATCTGGGACTGTTGCTAAGCGTTGAATACTCGACAGCCATGGTCGCGCAAATATCCAAAGCCAATCAACATGCAACATGCAGTACAAAATCAATGAACCTACCATTGAAATAATATTGATTGTTCACATAGGTAAGTCGTGGCCATTGTTGGTAAAGCGCAAGTAACGAAAATGAACACAACACATCAGGTGTTATGCAAAATAATTTTGAGGAAATGAAAACAGTCAACAAAATGAAGAAGCAAAAAGCAATAATTAAGGAACTACAAGAGTATTGACCTCATGACCTTGATTAGATGTGTCAAGTTGTGCACGTGATAAGTAGAAACCAAAAAGGTATCATATCACGTGGACGAGCACAGCTTGCAGCCTCCAGAATGGTGAATGAGCCATTAAAAACTGTGCTTCAAAAAATATCACTCTGGTTTTCAGAAACTTCAAATAATATGTTTATCGCGGTTAAATCCTACAAAAGTAAATGTGCCTTTCAGGGTATCAAGTTCTTGCCTTCAACAAGCCCCTAACAAGAGCCGCATGAGACCCAGGACGACCGTGACGTCATCTGCCGCGATACGTTCCACTGTCTTCAATGAAGACAGTTTCATTCATTTACATCGGTCAGTTAGCGGTTAGAGTCTGGAGTTAGCGCGAGCGAAGAAGCCGGGTAGGGTTGGCAGATCTGCAGCGATTCGCAACAAATTACCGGGCACACGGGCCCGTGGCCATTCAATGATTCAAACTGCTTATATCTTTTAGGAAATCATCGGAAAAATCACTTGAGTCAGAAACGAAGTAAAGCCAATTCGAAAGGCTAAGGCCGATCTAATCTAAAGCTCACATTATGAAGGAAATAACATGAAACTTTAGTTACGAGGATTCAGCAAAGAAAATATTATTTTAACTGGGCATCACATCAACATGAAATCGCTCTCAGAACATAGGCTACCATTGTTCCGTTTTGCACCAAAAAATTGGTGTACCGTCCTACTCGTGTCCGAGGTAATGAAAAAAAAAATCATCCATTCAATGAGGTCTTCCACTTTTAATAAGGATCCCCAGATGTGTTTTTTAAGTTTTGGGCTGCACAGGGATAAAAAATGTTTATAAAAAAGCAAATATTACGGCTTTACGGAGTCTCCTTAACCATTGGTCTAAACTAGTGAATAACGCAACTCAATAAAGCCGAAATATTGTTTTTTTAAAGGTAGTGTGCCACCTTTGAAAGATTTCCCATTTTATTTTTCCTAGGATAAGAAGCTTCTGTTTTTACCTAATATCGCAAAAAAAAATCAAAAATGGGCCTGGAATAGTGCCTTTTTCGCCTAAAAGTTTTTCGGTTTTTAGATATGTATAACAACTGTAGTGGGCTCACCTGCAAACAGGCGTCGGGCAACAATCGCGAATGCGGCGCACTTGTGACAATAAGCAAAGATCATTATAGTGTTACGACCATACGACGTACGGGAATGAGTTATCAGCTGTCTAATCGTAGACAACACAATGTCGATCCTTAAACTGTAAGCCCGTATTGGTATTGTTTCTTTTATTTGGCTGTCGAACATTATTTATGGTTTGAAATATGATTTTATGTAAAATAATTGATATGAAAAAGCCGTCTTATAAGTTATGACCCCATTTCACCACACGCAAGTGGCAGAAATGACAATGATCAGCTGACGCATTTTTCTTGGCCGAAGTCAGAGCGCGCGGCCCGACGCACCACGCGTATTTGGAAATTCCGACCTCGACGAGCATCAGAAGCCACCTAACAGGCGTGTTCGAAACCGCAGGAGATGATGATGAACGGGTTTATCGAAACTTGATTGGATGAGCATATCGGTAATAGCGATTTCAGTGTGTGCATTTATTGTTCATAGTGGTGTGAAATGTGGTTGGGGTACGACCGACAACCCGTCGGGGCGAATTTCGCACTGGGGTACTCAAAATTTGAAGAATTTAAGACGTTTCCATGAGTTTTGAAGGTATGGATAAGTTCTAAAAATCCGGTTCTCCTTATCTGGGCCATTAACTCCATACGGTCCAAGAAAGCTGGCACACTACCTTTAATATTTTTCACCTCATAGATCGAATAAACGTTCGACATTTTTTGGTAGACATTTAAAAACGGGCATTTAATAAAATGACAAACGTGGTATTTAAATAAAGAACAATCCGATCATAACAAAACAATTTAAAGGTAGTCAGTAGAAATTTAAAGTTACCTAAATGACCTAACACTATTGCCAAAATTTAGTCGGAAGCAACCAGATCAAGATAGGTTGTAACAGTGGAGCGTGAATGTATTAAACAATGCATTTCAAGGTAAGGTATTTCAACTTTCATATAAACAATAAATATAAACATAAAAGAAGGCAGTAACAAATCGAAGCGAAGCAGCGTTGGTATGTAGCCCATCACCCATCAGTAACCAAAGGCCAGCGACCCGGGCCGGGGTGGAATTCCACGCGCCACGCCGAGTCAGCTGTTGCAGACGCCGGCGGCCACGCTGCAGCCTCTCCCCTCCCTCCCTCCCCTGCAACATGTGTCCACTCCACCCCGCCAGACGAGTCCGAACCCCGCGCGGGCAACACCACCCTCCGCAAAGGTCACCCACGCTCGCGAGCGTCCAAAACGGCGCCAACACTACCCGCCGGCGCGCCGGACCCCCGACAGGTGGTCGATGGCGCGTCGCGCGGCGTGCACTCATCACCTACCGGAACTGGTGCGCTGTAAACGCCGGTGAATATCCTGCTCCCAGCGGCGTCCGGAACGTCCGTATTGCACACCGTGATGCTACACGCGCGGGGCTACGAGACAGCTTCGTGCTGACGGGACCGGCGCGGTCGAACCGGCGTGGCCGAGTGGGTCCGGCGCGATCAGCTGATCGGTCAGCTGTTCGGCCGCCGGCCGGCGGCGACACGCCGTCCCCCCGACCCCCTATCAGCGCGCGCCGGGCTCCCGCGCCGCCGGCCGCAGGGGCGACGCCAGGGACGGCTAACGGGACGGACAATGGCACGTCTTTGAGACGGTCCCGGAAGGTGGCTATTTTAGGATGGGGTGACCGGCGAAACATTCCCGAGAGCCGGTAGGGAGCGTGATCCGACGCCTGCCCCTGGAGCCGCCGCGTGACGTCACGTCTGGCGGCGCGACGTGGCGGGCGCGGGGGACGCGACCCCCCGGAGGACCGGATTACCAGACAAAGGTCGAGCGCGCGCAAAACGCGCGGGGAGACGGCGTCGGTCCGACGCTCGCCGATGAAATCCGAGCCGGGCCGTCCCCAGGCATCTCCCCCCCCCCCCCGTCCGCCTGAACCGTCGGCTACCGCGACTCGGGCCTCGGACACTCCATCCCGCCCTGCCTCTGACCACCCAGTCTAGCCGCGATAACACCAAAACGTGCAGAGGCACGGCGATGTTATCGGCGCCGAAAAAAATGGATACCGGCTGACCACCGATGTGTCGTGTTTCAGACATTCACATCTCGCGAAGCTGATGTGTAATCGGCTTCTAACAGCAGCACCTCGCGCTTGGTCTCTTCATTGAGTCATTCATGGATCTTAATTTCCTTCTACACGACCATCTGTGATACCAAAATCACACGGCACCATTAAGATCTTGATAAGAAAGAATTTCCAACTCATTCCCTTCTTTCTTCATACCCTGATCAGCCAAAGCCGGGGATCACAACTTATAAACTGAACTGAAACTGAGCATTCACTGTAAGAGGCAAGGCTCATGAAAGAGCAGCATCTGGGAATAATTAGTCCACCCAGGCATGGCATCCATACTAAAAACAACGCGGCACTGAAATAAGGCAGCGAAAGGTCTCGAAGGGCCATAAACTCCTGCCGGCGTCCGCCCCGAGAAAAGCGCGCCAAAAGTGGTAGCGGCGCGCGCGCGCGGGCCATGGCGCGCCATCCCGCCCCCGACAGGTGGCGGCCGGCGGCCGGCCCGGCCCGCCAGACGGCGGAGTACAGCCATCTATTGTCACTAACGAATATTTGTGAATATTTAAATGCCTGTTTTTCAACTAACCTTTAAAAGCGTCCATCGTGGGGTGCAATTAAATAAATCTGCAGTTCCCTGTTGCCACCGAAGGTCGAGATTTTAAAGGCATCATGCGTCAAAACTGATCGGATGTGGCGTTCCTTGCTGCAGAGCCCCTAAAATGGCATCGAGCATTAACAAGATGGCTGTTGGCCACAAACCGTCTCCTCAATAGCTCTTATGCGGCCGATCTATCAGCATGATTTTGAACAGTCGAACAGCTGAAACACGTTGTGTCCGTTCAACGACATGCGCCGTTCACTCGTTTTCCAATGCAAAGTCGAAACGAGTGAGTCGAGTGAACGGCAGATATCATTGAACGGACACATTGAGTGTGTCAACTGCTCGGCTGTTCAAAATCATGCTCATTCCAACGTCCAAAGTATGACAGAAGCGTTCGCGTTACAGAATCACATGAAAGGAAAGGGTTAGGAACAATGATATAAGAAGACAATGAGCTTCATGAACCGTTTGAAAACTGACAAAAAGGCGGGACAAAAAAGTAGAATAGACTCCAAAAAGCCTTATTCCCAAAACGACAGACGGTTGGTCGAGAGGGTCGCCATCTCGCAGTCAGCACTGCAGAACATGCAGACTTGGCGGTCCCGGAAGCAGCCAGTCATTGCCGAGAGACGGCTGCACTCGCAGCGTGTGGACCTAACAATGCGAGGTCAGTCCACTCCACCCACGAGGGAGCTGCACTCGCTAACGAATCACCGGGGGAGCTGCACTGCGCCCACGGTACGAGGGAAGATGGAGAGTTGGGCGTCGCACCCGGACCCACATTGCTATCTCGCGATTTACGAAAGAGGCGCAGAAAATGGCAGCTTCCTACTCATGTAACCGGAACAAACGCGCATCGATCACAAGCATACCAGTTGCGAGTTGCGAGTCGCTTGCGAGTGCTACGAAGCACGTGGAGACACAACTTTCGGGTCAGACATTTTCGGGTCAGGGTCGCCAATTTTCCACCCGGCCCGGTGGAATGGGTGCTGTCCCGTCACCCGACCCGTCCGTCCGGCCGCCCACTTCCTGCCGCCTGAGCTGGGACCACATCCCCCGGACTAAAACCAGCGCTCGAGCCGTCATCCACCACCGCCGGCACCAAGGCTACGGAGTAAGAGTCAGAATCGGAATCGGTCGGATCGAAGTGGACAGTTCTGCCCGGGGTCAAATTCTGGAAGCCGGACTCTGAGTCGGCTGTCGGAGTCACCAAAAACTCATCGACCCCACAGCGCTTGCCGACACCAGTAGTCGACGGATCCAATCGTCGGACGCCGGCGCGTCGCGCGGGGATCGCCGGTGTCGGCGCAGCGGCACCTGTCAGCCAGGTGGGACCGCCGGTACCGTCCCGCCGGAAACGCACCTGGACCGGCGGCGGCGAGCCAGCATGTGCCGCACATTTTGCGCGCGAAGAATAGGCGCGCCACGCGGCCCGCTAACGGCATGGCCCGGCCCCGAGTAGCCGCCGCCTGTCTACGGGGGCCGGTTTGAAGCGGGCATGGCGACAGCGTCGTCCAAGGCGTGAAAGGTGTACCCAGGGAAGGGAATTGGGGAATGGCGCAGACGGAACTAAACTAAAGAGGAAATATCGATGGAAGAATTCAGCCCATTGTTTAGGTACCTAATTTCATGCCAGCCACACAGCTCTTCCGCGGATCTGAGGCCACGCAAGCCAGATTCAACGGCTACATCGCTTCCCTAGACGGGTTAACCGTCATCGCGGCTAATCCGCGACCCTCCCGAACTATCTCATCGACATGGAATTTCGCTTCGGTCTTGCTCCAGAAGTTCCGATATTGTTAACCCGCGCCGTGCTGGTGGTCTGAACTTTCCGCAGAGTGCTGGGGGAAGGGAGTTTTCACGCCCCCTCCCCCCCTCTAACTCGGCTCCTGGGCCACGTAGCGACATGCGGTAAGCGGCAATCGAAAGAGCGTCAAAAATAAGAAGGAAAACACTTCAGTCATCTTTTAGGTCAGATCAAAGGTCAGGTCACCAGAGGTCAGCAAAGGTCAAATTTAGTCCTATTCAATAATTTTGGAAACTGCCAGCGTCTAACTCGGGAACCAATAGAGCTACAGCGCCGCGGAAAAGCGCATTCGATAGCCCTTTTACAGACCTTTCTGAGTGATGATCTCCGATTTGACCTCAGGTCAACGGTTCAGCATCCAGAGGGCAAAAAACTATCAAAATAACCGTTTTCACGAAGAATGTTTTTGGGCAATAACTTTTGACTCAATAGAGCCACGACATTACTTTTGGCAGCATCGTGTTCCTCTCGTCGAGACGCGTCGAATGAATTATTTGTTGACCTTGAAAGTCATTTTAAAAATTTGACCTCAGGTCAAGGTCATGACCTGACCGGAAAAGGTCATGTTGCATATCAGTCGGTCCGTATCGTCAAGCTGAACACATCTGACGTGTTCTCACCGCTCTAGCACGTCTCTATCAAAAGTTAAGGCCAAAAAACTGCTGGTGACCGTTCATGACCTGAGATGACCTCAGGGGCATACAGAGGGGTCAGAGGTGCATTTTTCCGATTCAGTGTATCATGTTTACCTGTGAACCGATGTTTGAGAACGTTTTTAACGACATTCGTCCAAAAGAGGCGCATTTCAATTTCCTCCCATTGACTTATAATGGAGAGGTCACAAAATTGACCTGACCTTGGGTCAGAGATATAAAAAATCAGAGATAAACATTTTATACATGCTGTTACTCATATCAATCGCTGAAAGTTTCGAAGTGATCGCACAATCGGTGTAGCTATAGCGAGCCTTTGAACTTTTTTGAGGTAAGGTCACTTGACGTGACCTGGTGACCTGACCTTGAACGACCCGGGTCTAAAATTTTCACAAATGCGGAAATGATGTATGAACAGGTGTACCAAAAACGGCAGCGCGCTGCTCCGCCGTTTGAGATATTCGCGAAAAACCTGAGGGGGGAGTAAAAACACCCCCCCCCCACGGCGCGGGTTAACCCTCGCATGTGTAGGGGGGTCGGATCACGGATGGACCCCCCCCCCCCACCATGGTTTTTCGCGAATAACTCGCGTAAAAAGCGGCCGATCGCGACGAAACTTTCAGTACCCTCGCATTGATCAATTTTACACCTACCCTGAAAATTTCATGACCCTGACCCAAATGACCTTTGACCTGTGAACTCTTTTCCGAGACCATGTTTGGCCGGAATCGCGATTCCGCGTATGTCGGCTCGCATTAGCCGCGCGTTTGCAAGCTTTTCGTGGTTTCAAACGTTCAAACATGTGATTTGATGTTGTTCCCATGCATTAGGGTGGGTGTCAAGGTCACCTGAAGGTCAGGTCAGGTCATTGACCTTTGATGACCTCGGGTGACCTTGGTTCACTTTTTCGAGTTATACATGTTTCTAGGCTAGTTTTTGGAGCTGAATTCGAATTTAGCAACCATTTGAACATTTACGAAGTAGTTTTGGTGCCTTCGTAACATGTTACGAAGCTGTCAGAGGCGGTTGACACGTACTACGAATACCCGTCACAACCCCTACTGGTTGACCTGACCTGACCTGACCCGACCTGGTCTAAATGCTTAAAGACATCATCTGTGATCAAAACTAACACGATATTCGTGATTAGCAACCCGAAACCCCCTTAGCAGCCACACTTTACGACTTTCTAATAGGTCCCGATTTTCCCGACTTTGGGTCATTGACCTGACCTGGACGGTCAACCAATTACCTAGGACCTTAAAATTGGGTATCATCGGCTTCCTCTCGTCACGGGCAACACGCTCGTTTTTTCCGCGAAGTTCTAGCTCGATCAGGGGCCAAACGGCAAGGGGGTCTAACCGACCCCACCCCCCTACACATTAGAAGCTGGCAAACGCCGCACACATGCGAGGGTTAAAGCATTTATGTGGTATGAGTGTAAATACACTACGTCAAAAAATAGCCTATGCCACTCGTGCAAGGAAGCCGATACATTCAGATTTACCATTTGACCAATGGCCTAACTTTCTTGGTGCTCGTAAGAAAAATCTTCGCAACCCCCCCCCCCCCCTCCCCTCCCTTAAAAAGGGCGCATTTGGCCGATTAACTCCACAACCGGCTGGTTATTCACCAAGCGATTGAAATAAAAGATCGACAGAATTGCACACAAAAAAGATAATGTCGGAGGTAAGGAGCCAAATGTCCTCAAAATGTGCAGCAGCCCACAATACGCACAGGGTGCCTTGATTAGCCACTAAAGGGCAGGCCTCCAGAGGCCTAGTGTACCTATATTTGACGTTTCATTATGTTTGTCCAGAGCCGTGGAACAAAAATTGCACATGCACTACAGCGCAAAATGCCGAAATGCGATGAGTCGCCTGCCGGTACCCATGATTTGCTCATTTAACCATAATGCTCTTCTGACCTTGACCTAAGGTCACCTTAATTTGTACCTTGCAAAAATACTTTCTAAAAGTCGCTTGATGCTTATTGCCGAGACAAAACGCTGCAAATGGTTACCACAAGATCATTTTTCCGATGAGTACTGAATATCATACATATTTTTTTTCTGTTGAACTGAGCTCTGAAAGCACAAGCTAGGACGGTGTTGATGTGCAGGTGTCGCATACTTTCGTACCTATCAGTAGCGTCATTCGCACTTATCCTTTCCTTGCCTTCCCCTCAAGTTCAATGAAAAAGCTATTAGGTAGTCATCACTGTTTCAGGAGAAACAGAGAATCGTTGCAATTCTTACACTGTTCTCTCCAGTTACTTACGCATAACGAATGACGAAATAAAGTCAAGCGCGTAAAAAAGGATCCACGATACGAGTTGGGTGTACAGTTCTAATGGTCGTTCATTTTGTTATCATCCTTCGCGAGTGAGTCGACGAACATACAGCGCTAGACAAATATACCTCTGACGTGCGATTAAGTTATCTTGATGTGGTGTGCACTCACTACGTAGGACAGTTGTGCATTCCTCGGCAAGAAATGTAAGTCAACTACTCCAAACATGTAAGATCCAGTAAAGCCCACTAGCTGAATTAGCGTGAAAATCAGCACAGGACAAATCACAGTTGAATTACAAGACGTCAAAGCACCAAGTCAATGGCCCATTCACCAGTGCTCAAGTCTACTTTCTGGATCCAGGCATTCAGTGTAATGTCTGCCGTCTTCACTTTCACAAGTAACTAGTACCGTCACCAAACACCAGCGATGATGCATGCACAGCCGACTGACCTGGCACCAGACATTATCTGTCCGACGGCAGCGTCAGAAGAGGGAGTCGAGCGCTCATTCGATCATTACTCTGCAACAGGCCACAGGCGACATGTGAAAAACGTGCGACCCACAAATACAGCTTCTATGTTCCAACTAAATCAAAGTCTCTTTCAGCACAGCTAACCAAATGAAACCAATGGATTGATGTTTTTCAGCAGAGGCATGCAAAGAATGAAAAACAGAACACCTTGACTACTCATGAACATGTCATCCAATAGCCATCTTGAAGAAAGTTAGAATATTGGAATAAGATTCTAACCAGACCTTGGAATGTAGTTGATACAGAACTACTTGTCAAGTGCAAAAAAGCAGCTGCTTGCTAAATAGGCAGCATTAAGCTTGATTATTTAGAGCATAACAAGATGCAGGTACCTATCTTTACATTCTGCTTGATGAAATTGATATAAACATGGTGCTTGAGAGTGGGCACATTAATACATTATCACAATAATAAACTTGCTTGCAATAAAATATGTAGATAGTAGTGTACCAGCACTTCAAAAGATCAAACCAGCATGTTTAGATTGCACCATGGTTTATGTCATGCAATAAGCTACCAATGCAGTATAAATTTGACTGCTTTTTTAGGCAACATGTCTATGTACACCCTGTTTGCAAAATAATGAAATAGTGTTGCCTGCAAAGCAATTTGTAAGAACCAAATGAAATATGATCACTGAATCCAACTTTAAAAGTCACTGACACATGCCCAATGCTGACAAGTGGGTTTTCAGCATAACCCAAAATAAGAATGAAGGAAATATGATTTGCCCATAATTACCAGCTATAACAAATTAAGTTAGTGAGACAATTCTTAGCCAGTTCATAACTACTGACATATACAACTAAATGCCAAAAATAGTACATCCATATACTTTCAGTTATGTTTCAGTTTCAAACTTAATCAAACTTCCAATATCCAATGCCCTCATGTAACATCATCAACCAATAACCTCATGTTTCATCAAACCAAATTACCTAAGCCATACAAAAAAAGGCATTGGTAATTGGTTTGCTTCCATGTAACACAAAATTTAGCAACATAGTAGAAACTCCTTTTCTCATCAGGTGTACAACTTAACTTTGTTAAAATGACATAAATTGTTAGATTGAAAATTGAAATGGAAATGTCTAAATAAGTGTCATTTTAAATAGCACTTAGATAAAATTGATAAAGCAGCTTATGCTTTGAGAGCATTTAAGCTAATTACATGAACAGTTGCCTGCAGGTATCATTAATAGGCATATATTAACCCAACCATTTATGGCAAGGGTTGAAAAATAAGTCATAAGGTTAGCAATTAGATATACTAAATTGAGGCATATTTCAGAGCCCTAGTCCCTAGAATACCTAGCTATTAATACCATTATAGCAACTAATTTGCAAAGAGAAAAAGAGCTTATCAAACAAACTGCTATAAAACATCTTCTACAACTTAAGAATGAATGACAAATAGAAGCATTCATTCACCAAAAAGGCTTGATAGCTACTAGGGAACAGTTACGCTCAGATCATCCTTGAAACATCAAAAGATCCAAAAAGTGGAGCAAAAGCATCAGCATGACACCTTGCTGGCTTGTCGATGAAGCATATGAAATAAAAATAATTCATCACAGTGGATCATCCACAATCCACATACACAACCTGAAAATCCAGTTTTGAAACAATCAGTCATCACCTACCGCCAAGTATTGCACAGACACAAGTTTCTGAGGGCTGTTCACGGACCCTGTGTGCGATCGGACCGCACACAGCCTCCAAGCTCCGCCCACTGCGTCCCTACGTCAGCCTTGCGTCACCGCACACAGCGACCGCTGTGGCCGGTCGGGACTGGCCACAGCGGACCGTCCACCGCACGCAGCCGTGACGTCAGAGCCGCCTACCCATCCCCTACCCCCACGCCTGCTGGACGTACCGCACACACCGCACGCAGCAGTGTGCGGTGCCCGTGAACACCCCTCTGATCTTTTTAGATTAAATAATGCACAGATTTTAAGAACAAAATAAAGCAGATAATATAACAAGACATATCATAGCGATAGCACAGAGAGGACAGTGATAGGCATCCATGCAAGTTGCAGTTTGAGTTGCAACTGTCACTGTCATTCCATGTAAAATTCAGGATTGAAAAGAAAGTGATAGCAAATTTATATCAACACAATTTCCAAAGGTTGAAGAATAATTTAAGAACCTACTGGTTATGATTCCATCCAAATTTATGGGATAATAACCGAATTACGAACAGAAATACAACTCAGAAAACGGGCAGCAGACAGTTCCGGCGCACTCCTTGAGCCTATCATCCCCTTATGCCACCAATTTATCGGAATACAATCTTGCTGATGAAAAGAGTGGTTGAAAAACATCAAGATCTGTCAGAAAATTTTACAAAATCACAAAATACTTACCTATTAAAGATGATTCCGTTGCAGACGTCCACCCGCCTCCTCTCCGGTGCCGGCGCGCGCGGTTTCCCGCTCCTCGGGCCAAGTTTACATCACGAGTTTGACGGCTCTAATGTTCGCGAGCCAGGAAACATATCTATTGCTTTATAGTTATTGCATGTGTTGTTTCAACTTATAATAATCTTAGCTAGCATATCTATTACAAGATGAAATAAACAGTATGAAATGAGTCGGTTCTCTAAATCTTAAGAGCACTCATGATCGCGGTTAATATTAGAAACAGCCAACTGCAGCCGCAGAGCCCCGTCCTCCCAGCTGATCCACAATTTGGCGCGATATTCGAGCGGGCTGCCCGGCGCCCCGGCGTTTCCCTTGATGGCCGATACAATGGAAAGTTCCCCAAAGTCAACGGTGTCTCTCAGTCAAACAGACAACGCACAATGCAGAAACATTTCATCCGGTGATTGAACGCTTTGCTTGGCTGCTCATCAGCTGATCGCTTCGCTCTGCTTACGTCATCTGCACCGTTTCCCCCGGAGATGATCCGAGGTGCGCAATATGTTGCATATTTGCTAGAATTTTAAAGTTTAACGAGCGATCGATCGTCACAAGTACCAAAACCTTTGCCTCTAACATGAATGTCTGGCCCAGAAAACGATTTGACGCGACGCGACGGTGGGATGAGTACTGTAACACTAACGGATAAATAACCTAAATAACATGATAAAGGATTGGTCATAACGCATCATAACCTTTGAACTTTGGTGGGACAATCTGCGTTGAGGAAACTAACGATTTTCTTCATTCTCCCGCCACTGATGCCGGCAAGAGAAACATCGGTAGTCGGTACGGACTACGGAAGGTGCTCTGGTTTTATTGCCCACTGGGGGCAACGTCCTCAGCAAACCTCGGACGCACGGCTTTTTGCCTCATTTCATCGTGGATCACCTCTCCATGCAACGGACGCATACCAATGGCCGTCCGCCGGGCAGCGGACCCGTGCGGGCCGAGGGACCGGCCGCGGGGTGGGGTCGTGGCGCCAGACGTCCGCCGTCGGCGCGCGCGCCCGCCGCCCGAGCGCGCCAACGCCACCGGCGCGCGGTTCACGGCCGGCGCGCGTCGGCCACCTGGGACAACGACCCGTGACGTCACAGGCGCGCCTGGTGACGTCACACCGACGCGGCGCCGGCGTCTGCCGCCAGGTGCCGACCCGGGTCCCCCCCCCTGCGTCGGCGTCCCCGTCAAACCCCAGCTCCCCTGCCCAGCAGTGATTTCCGCGGGAAACAGACTATTTACGGTGGCGCCGGCGGTGGACGTCTGTTTTGGCGCGCCTTTCTCCCGCGCTCGACGGAAGGTCTTCGCGCCGTTTCTTATCTAAACAATGTGCCCTCCTCGGACGCTGATGTCGGGTATCTACCGGCTACTTAGCCCCCCCCCCCCCCCCGGAACGCCGTCTTGGAATGCCGTCGGACTCGAGTGGGCTCAGGTTCGGCTCTTATATCCGCAGTATGTATTTAGTGGGTACTTATCTACAATTTGTTACATACCTATACCTACCATAGGTATGTGTCATGTGTGAATATGAATACCTATGAAGAGTACCTACATAGGTACCTATGTATGAAAGTAAATCTTCAAATGTGCCGGATGTTTAATTTTTCCATGGCCAAATGCGTTTTTTAGCTTCTCAGGCTCCCTAAGAAGCACCGCCACCAGTCTCTCATTGCAGGCAAATTTATCGGCGTGTACTTACCTAATGTGTATGGTGTTCCTAAAAGGTCATTCATCTAATTTTACAATTAGCTTATAGGCTGCTGGTGCGATCGATGGTTGACAAAAACGCGCTTGTGTCTTCGATAAGTGGCGACTGATGACGCAAGCAAGTCATTAGCAGTGTGGACTGCAAATAGCAACACGTTCTGGTTATGCCTCACACAATCAAATGTCGTATTTTGAGTTCGATTCATATTTCCTACCACGATTATCGGATATTAGTTGTTGGGGCCTGGGGCCTTAGCCGTTCTATAGCGCGTCAACAGAGAGGTCATTATGCGCGTACACGTTTATAGGATACTTGCCTGCAAAGTGCATACATATTACATAGTGCAAAGGGTATATGATACGGCCACAGTCGCTGCCACTGCGAATTCGCCCGAGAGCAACACACATGAACCCTTCAGACGCCACATAACGATATCGGAGACGACGCTTTCGGTTTATAGTTTTTAACCCGGTTAGACCGGTTATATTGGCCATGCGGAGAGTCACGGAGACTGAACGCGGGATGGACCAGGGACGTAGCCAAGGGGGGGGGCGGAGGGGGCGCCCGCCCCTCCCTTGGGGTTTTCAGGAGGCCCCCCGAAAGGATTCAGGCCAACGTGGGCCGAAGGCCCACGTTGGCCTGAATCCTTTCGGCCTGAATCCAACGTGGGCCGAGCCCACGTTGGCCAAAATCACGTCGGAGGCGAACGAAATTTACCCGGGAATCTAAAAAATGACGTCAGAACAATCAGGGCCCTCTGACCAGCCTGACAAGTGACAGCTAGGGCCCTTCTCATCTCCTGTGAATAACCACTAGTGTCTGTGTCTGACCGTTATGGCACCTCTGACTCCTCAGTAAAGAGGAGGCCCTCTGTGGGTAGGAGGCCCTGTGTAGAGAGGAGGCCCCCTTAGAGAGGAGACCCCCTGTAGAGAGGAGGCCCTCTGCAAAAAGGAGGCCCTCTGTAAAAAAGAGGCCCTCTGTAAAAAAGAGGCCCTCTGTAAAAAAGAGGCCCTCTGTAAAAAAGAGGCACTCTGTAAAAAGGAGGCCCTCTGTAGAGAGGAGGCCCTCTTTAGAGAGGAGATCGTCTGAAGAGAGGAGGCCCTCTGTAGAGGAGGACTCCCTCAGTAGAAAGGAGGTCCTCTGTAGGTAGGAGGCCCTCAGTAGAGTAAAGGCCCTCTGAAGAGAGGAGGCCCTTTGCAGAGATGAGGTCCTCGGTATGGAGGAGGTCCTGTGTAGAGACGAGACTCTGAAGAGAGGAGGCCCTACATAGATAGGAAGCCCTCTGTAGAGAGGATGCCCTCTGTAGAGAGGATGCCCTCTGTAGAGAGGATGCCCTCTGTAGAGAGGATGCCCTCTGTAGAGAGGATGCCCTCTGTAGAGAGGATGCCCTCTGTAGAGAGGATGCCCTCTGTAAAGGAGGCCCTCTGGAGAGAAAGACACCCTCAGCAGAGAGGAGGCCCTCTGTAGAGAGGAAGCCCTCTGTGGCTGTGTTGGTATTTTTACGATGGATGCAATTACCCAAACCATTTATCAGACCGTGGTGATATTCCCATAGCCATGCTTCGCACAACTCATAATAATTTATTTGACCGGGAAATTAATATATAGGGGAAAGTGGGGTAAGACGGTCAGGGTAGGTAAGACGGGCACCCCTTCTGCAGACCAAACCAATAGCGCTACGAGCGAGAAAAATTAGGACCAGAATTGTCTTTTCCACTACACACCACCATTGAAGTCTGGTGAATTTGTGTTCAGTCCATAATCTTTTATTTTGATTTCTTTAAAACACTCATTTCATTGAAAACCATAATGTATTGTGCCAGCTTTTGTGTGCAGCACAACAGAGTTAAAAACTGGCAATCACTTGTGGTACGTACATTCATATGCCACTAGTGTTCATTCACCGCGGATTTGCTTTGTCTGCATCAATTGTCCACAAAGAAAAATCGTGCGGAACTTCTGACATTGAGTTTGGGGTAAGACGGGCAACCATGAATCCAATGGGTCTGTAATGGTGAAAATATTTTTGTTGCTGTAGGAAAAAAGAAGCATTTTTTATAAGAATATGTTCGATTCCGATACTCACAGACATGTTAGCTATATTCCTTCGGCACAGTTTATTCTCGAATAATGAATGTGAAAAACGGCTCTACATGGCTTCTGAACTAGGGCCTATATACGAGCATACGCCTTCTGCACGAATCTCGCATACTGCCATTTCCGAAGCACTTGAGACCAACGAGCGACTGTATCAATGCGGCTAATCTCGGGCATTTGCTGCGAGCTGTGCTGGTCGGTGAAAGAAGCTGGCCGTCTTGCCCTACCCATGTGGTGACCGTCTTACCCCATGGGGTGGGGTAAGACGGGTTTTTGCAAGGTTTTGCAAAAACAGTTGCAGTTTATTTGTGGAATCAGGTCTAAGTCTCATCTTCTGGCAACTGGAAGTAAAATGTCTAAAAAAGGTTTTCATTCAGTTTCCGTTTCTATGATGTTTCTAACCGGCCGAAAAATGGCTCCAAAGTTAAGGTGCCCGTCTTACCACACTTTCCCCTACCTATCCATCGATTGTTTGTTTCATCTACGGCGTAAATGAAGCAAACCACCTGGACCTAGGAAAATTTACTAACGAAACCATGTTTTACTTACAGCAAGTAAACGTGGCATCATTCACACATAAAAAATTGATAACCGTAGGGGAGAGCGGGGAGAGTTGTATCATGTCCAAGTTGTATCAGGGCGAATTGTGCCAAACTTATCCAATGGATGGCGCTCGCGACACGACCAGCCGACGAGGTTTTCCGGGCACCATCTTTCCCTGTTCTGTCTTGTGGCTGAGTGGACGCGTCTCGAGGTGAGAGCCGATTTTATGTTTTTTTAATGTCATTCTAAAAAAATAAGTTGCAAGAAAATGTGTGTTCTGGGCATTTAGATGTGCACGAATTTGAAAGATCTCCGTAGCGGTGGTGAGGGTAGGTTCTAAGGCTGCGTGAGTGAAAACGGATTTCTCCAGCTGTCCGCTGTTTTTTTTTAGCACGAGGATGTTTTTTCCAAGATGGCGGCTAGGTACATGTTGTATCAGAGCCGGGTGGGGTATGTTGTAGGGGAGAACGGGGTCAATTGTAACATTTTTTGCATTTTATCATCTGGTGCAAACACGTTTGCAGCTATAAAGCTCTTTCTTTTATTTTCAGAAACTATGATGTTTTGTCTTTAAAATGCAGTTAAAACATTTCCGAAATAACGTCTTTTTCGGGTCAAAATTGTTGTTCGAAAAAGTCAATTCAGCTGTTATAATTCACCCCAGATACGGGGTCAAAAGTAACACCACCCGGGGACAATTGTAACATGTTCATTAACATGCTACAGCAACACATTTTTTTTTCCAAAACTTTGATTTAACAAAAGTATTGAACACTTGTTCATCTTCCCAGACTTGGTAAGGACGGTTCTTCTCAGGAAAAAGGCATAAAACCTCGCACTTATACAGGGGTTGGATGGACCTCCTCTCCCTTGGTTTTTCGCAAATAAATCGCGTAAAAAGCTGCCGATTGCGACAAAACTTACAGTTCTCTTAATTCTAGCAATGTTTCATCTCAATTGAAAATTTGACGACTTTGACATAATGGGCACTGACCTATAACCTGTTACATTTGACCCCTGCAAAAATGTTACAATTGTCCCCGTCGCGCCTTGACATATTTTAGACGAAACTGGCGCAAAAAGATGTTGCATGTAGGCAGCATTTAATGCTTTCAATTTATCGACAACAAGCCTGCCAACGCTTACACAAAGTCTGAAGTCGATATCTTTTCAATGGCGGGAATGAGCTAATCAAATATAACGGCATAAAAATCTACAAAATGCTCTCAAAAACACATTACTGTGCACAGCCATCGACATACCCGGCACTTTCGCTTCAAACTCCGTTGGGAAAGGCAGTATAGAATAACGCATTTTCGGTCTGAACATCAGCTCATTCTATTGGTAAGTTTATGAATTATTAACACTGTTACAATTGCCCCGTGTTACATTTGACCCCGCTCTCCCCTAACATGTATGTATGTATGTATGCATGGGTATGTTGCTTTTGATCGCGAAAGCTAAGCCCTGGCTCGCGTTTGTAGGTAGCTAGTCAATGCTCGTTCCATTTCGGCACAATGTGTTGGCTTCTTTGCTTAACGGGCCACTTTTGCATCTAGTCTGTTGATGTTTCGTTCGGATTGCATTGACCTAAGTTTGGTCTAATAAAGTGAAGCCTTTGAGCATACCTATACATTGTATTAACCTCATTTAATGTTGTTGTTATGTTCAAAACCAGTAGTAAGCACACTCCCTGAAACGTGAAATAGTGATACAAATTACCACACCATGTGATACAACTCACCTAAGCCATGGGGCAAGTTGTATCAAAAACATTGTTCTATTCGGGAGACCGTAGAAGAAAAACTGGTAGAGGTAGCGGAAAAGTTACTTTGCACAAAAAAGCAGAAGAATCAAGGAAGGGGATAGTATGGAAATAATGAGTTTATCACGGATAGTTACGAGGTTATGGGTCTCGGAGTAAAAACTGATACAACCCACCCCACTCTCCCCTATAGTTTCAATCTTGCAGACGTCAGTCAGGTCAGAATCGTGACAAGCCTATTGTAAAATATAATGAACTGTGTCCTGCTTCGAGAAAACGAGTCAAAACCACCCAATTCTTTCTGAATTACGTCAGATTATCTGATCTGTAAGCACCCAGGTGGCATTTACTGACAGGGGCATCGGGAAGGATCATCTGAGGTGAGGTGAGGTCATCAACAGTTTTTAGCCAATAAATCACAACATGATGGGGCTAAATAGGTGTAAGTGTACCAAACCGTTCGCCTGGTCATGACGCGCCGATTGGTACCCAGCGTGACCTTCCTAGGTCAGATTTTGAAGTTGACCTATCTATGTAGGTCGTTATAAACCATGTTATTTGTTATGACCTCTGGCGACCTCAGCATTGACCTGACCCAAAAAAGTTGTTTACAAAAGTTGTAAGTCGTTCAACGAACTATCAAACGCCGTTGCCGTTTGTCGCTACGATTCGTGCTTTTCGAGTTCTGACGGGGGCCAAAAAGGCCCCCGCCCGATTCAGAGTCTTTCAGAGCCCGCCCGGAATACGGTTAAGCGCTTGAACGATATATGATAATGCACCAAGTGTTACTCTGACCGTCATCCAGTATCCACCCATTCCTCGCAGATCCTCCCCCTCCTGCTGCGGTCCGGCCGCCGCCGCCGCCGCCGGCGCCCAAGTTTTTTTTTTGCCAGTTACCATGCCACTCGGAGACTTGTGATATGCGTATGTTTCTTACCGCGAAAGCGGTAAGAATAAAAAACATACCAGTGTGCTGGCCATATGAAAGCTGAGCAAAAGTCTGCATTATGTTGTATATGTAATTATGTAGGCATGAGACCCTCTGTAGAAAGGAGGCCCCTTTAGGGAGGAGGCCCTCTGTAGAAAGGAGGCCCCCGGGATTCCTCCGCCCCTCCCTTGGCCAAATCCTAGCTACGTGCCTGGGATGGACTTCGCTGCTGGGAACGACGGCCGACAGGCTTACGAGACGTTTTTGCAAAATTACTCCAAGTTTTTATGAAACATTACCCAAAGATACCTTACTTCACTTCCTGCAAACGTTAACGAGTCAGTTGCAGGTGTAAGGAATCAATCGATGATCCGTACACTGTCGAGCTGATATCTGAAAAGAACAAATGCTTTTATTGAACAAATTGACAACTTGACATCCAGGACATACGGTGGTTTCGCCGATAAGCATAAGTATCGTATTGGGAGATGTTGGTAAGCAAAAGTTATTATCCATCATCGTATAAAGGCTCGGCAAACCGCAATCTTATACGTTGTGAGGTAGTAATAGCCTCCTGCCTTCCATGGTCAGGTGACAAGGTAACTTTGAAGACCCAGCATCAAATCATTTAATTTTTGCAACGTTATCATCGCGTCAGAGCCATGTTCATCAACGGACAGCCCATATTCAGCCCAGATTCAGCCCGTGATTCTGGATTCAGCCCAGATTCGGGACACCTCAGATCAAGCTGAAACTCTCACACAATGTAGGCCGTATAACATGCCCAATCCACAGTCCGAGTCATTCGTTGGCACTCCCAGCCGTTCGACCTACAGAGGTCAGCAAAGGTCATGGGGCCTAAATTCACACAGCAGTTTATGGCCCTTCGAAGTGGAGCTAGAGCGCTAAAAACGGCACCAAACGACTCGTAGGCATCTGATCTTACTTTCCCATTAGCAATTTGACCTTCCGTGGTCATGCGTTGACCTAAGGTCATTTGCGGGCTATGTCGAAAATACGCGTGCACTGTGCACATCGGTTCTCGAGTATAAGGATCGACCGAATTCCAAATCAAAGCATACCATCGAATAGCCAGTAAGACGTCGTAACTTTTCCTCGAAACCGCTTCTCGCTATGTGACCCCGTTTGATATGGGCAGCCGGCAGGTCAAAAGGTACGATTCTCCGACACCCCCGGGGTGGCAGCCTGGATTCAGCTCAGATTCGGGACACCTCAGATTGAGCTGAAACTCACACAAAATGTAGGCCGTGATATGCCCAATCCACAGTCCGTGTCATTCGGTGGCACTCCCAGCCGTTTGACCTACAGAGATCAGCAAAGGTCATGTGGCCCAAATTTGCGCACATTAGTTTGTGGCCCTTACAAGTTGCAAGTGTAGCTAGAGCGCTAAACACGGCACCAAACGACTCGCAGGCATCTGATCTTACTTTCCCACTAGCAATTTGACCTCCTGCGACCATGCCTTCAACTACCAGCAGGTACAATTTCGGCTTCAAATATGAACACAAACACTGCTTTGTTCTCATGGCTCCACCTTCGGGAAAAAGGATTCTGAGTTCGGCCACCCGACACTGCGGCTCCGGCTCCGGTCACAATGTGTTCGGCTCCTGGCTCACGCTATACCTATGTGTTGATAAAAACTGGTAACGGGTTTACGGATATCGACTAAGGCATTGAAAATGAATGGCCAATGAATGACCAATGAAGTAAAAGATATTTTAGGGGTTTCTCTTCATATGGCATCTCTTTAAAAAAGCTACCATATTCTCTACTGAAGGCGAGGCTAAACAATGACGTAAAATAGACGTCATTGTAAGGCCAACAGCCAATAGGAACGGTGGTTTTGGCATCGTTCACCGTATAAAACGTCATCCATTTCCTACTCGCTCCGTCTGAAATACGCAGCTTTGCTGTATGTTTTGTGGCGGCGGCGATCTCGTCGAAGATCTCCATTATTTGGTGCCGTGAAGGGGTGAATGCGCTTCTTGCGCAGGCTGCTATGGAGTTGCGGAAGGCCAGATAAATGTTGTCAAATTTGTATTTAATAACATGTTATCAGAAGAAACCGTAGCAAGTCTTGAAAAAGACTACAATGACATCGAAGCGAAGCAGGGGTGGCACTTATTGTACCATGTGAGTATGAGCCGCAAATGCCGCATCACAATAATGTCTCCTAAATACATGATTGCTGCAAGTATTTTATACTTCAGAGTAGTTTCTTTGAATATTAAGAACCTCTCAACAACACTCCTTAAATTTGATCAAGAATTGGTAGTGTTTTGTTTTCTCAAGTTGATGTATTGATGTGACCTGCGAGTGTTCGGGTACCTACTGTCATTGTAGTTCAGGCTACCTATTCTAATTGGATTATTGTTTTGTAACATTCACATAGCTGTAATGTTATATTGGATATTGACAAATCATGTTTTTGGCTTGTGGATGACAAGAGTGGTTTTTAGCAATCATATCAATATGTCATTGAAGATCAAATATGGACCAACTTATTTGCATTCAGATTCCCTCTGCGATTTGTGTGTGAATGAGGTTTGGCATGATGCTTGGTCAGTGCCTTTCATCTTTTGTTTGAGTTTTGAGGCATCAAGTGTAACTGGTTTTAAAATTAGTGGAAATGGTTAAATCAGGTATTTAAATGTGAATTAATGGTTTAGTCACTGATGCTGATATTCATTCAGATAGGTACTCATGCAAATGCTTTTCCTTTTTCCTTAAAGGTTTTATTGAAAAGGTATTCAGCAGAATCTGATATTTAAAAATTTAAAACTGAAAAATGGATCAACTTTTAAAAAACAGAAATATTATTGATCAGCTTGTTTGAAAAGTTCAGGCTACCTGCACTAGATGTTTGGAACTAGTTGATGCGGCTGCAGAAGCAGAGGTCCTCGGTTCAGACTTGTCAAACAGCACAATAAAACATAACTAGGCAATCAATCATAAGTAGAAAGGTAAATATTTGGAATAAGATACCAGAAAGTATCATTCTGGCTGGGTTGCATAAGGCTTTCAAGTAAGTCACAACAAGATACATCCTTAAGATATAAGGGCTTAAAATGTTAATACCCTTAAAAAGTTTAATGTGCTGATTATTCTGCTGGCGTAAAAAGGCCCAGTAATGAGCAACTCTTTGTTGCACTACATGCTTGTCTTTATGACAAGCATGTAGTTTCAAAGAGTTAAAAAGGCCTAGTAATGAGCAACTCTTTGTTGCACTACATGCTTGTCTTTATGGTATTCTTAGAAAGCTACCTATTCTCACAGTGTATATCCTATTCTATATCTCATTCTTAGGTAGGTCCTATTTCCATTGTTCAGTTTCAGTTTCAATTTTTATTTTTCTAAAGCTCAGAAAGCTCAATATCCAAAGTTCTTGTAGCTATTATAATACCTTAAGTTCAGCCTGCTAAACTTATCTGTAAGATTTCCTTGCTTATTGCCTGGATGGTTGTATGGTTTATACTAATGGTGCCAATTTCATGAAATTTCAATTCCAATTCCGATCCAATTCCAAGAAATTGCCAAGTAAATTTCCAATTTTGTCCAAAGCGGGGGCTATTCCAATTTTTAACGATTTTTGCATTTTTTGCGTAAATTTTAAAAGTGTTTAAAAGCGTTTTAAAGGCCTCCGTTTTAAAATTTAAAATTTTAAAGGCCTTGTGTTCCGATTAATTTCCAAAAAATGTTAAGAATTCCGTCCAAATTCCAAATTGGAATTGGACAAAAATTGGAATTCCAAGAAAAGAAATTCCGATTGGCACCAATAGTTTATACTTTTATAGAGATGGAAAACTATTTCAAAGAGTTAATTGCCCTGGACACTAGATGGACAAGAAATTAAGAATGGGATTGTGCCCTTTTTAGGGTTGAGAATGTTATGTCTGCTATCAGCTGGCAGCTTGCAACATTTTTCTTATTTTCACTGAAATTATATATGCCATATTTTGCTAGCAAATGATATTTTTCAGAAACAGCATAGCCTTGTCCTCAAGCATCAACCAAAGTATTACAAAAGTAGTAAAGTATTAGTAAACAACTTAATCTTGGTATCTATTGAAGTGATATCTTGTTTGGTTATGAAACCTTCCTGTTTTAATGGCCACCTGAGCTCAAAAGTAGTAACTAGTAAACCAAATAATTTGATGACTCAGGCAAGTAGATCACTGTGGCTTGATCAGAAAGTGATCAGGGTGGGTGGGGGGATCTGTCTGGATTATGTGATGCATGGTAGGACATCACCAATCTTCACTGGAACATCATTTGATCTGTAGGTACTCTGTAATGCAACCTTTGTCACCGGTCACTGTCCATCCCTGATCCCTGTCTTATGCAAATGGGGAGTGCCAAAGGAGAATGCTTGTTTAGCTGGTAATAAGATCAAGGATATGCAAGTGTAGAATGGCTAATGGGAAATAACATTTTTTTTTTCGCCTGTAGAAATGCACTCCTAGCCAATGTGAGCTTAGAAATTAGGGCTGGGTTGCATCTGCAGTTAGGTCAATGAACTGGGGCACTTCTGACTTCTTTAGCTACCTAGTGATTTACTGGTTTCTTGTCTGTATAATTTCTCAGTTTACATATCTACATAGGTTATGTCATTGATATGTCTAACACAAAGTCAGCATGTGCATAAGTGTGCAGGCACCAATCTAAAGAAGTGTTGTGAGGTGAAGTGAAATGTTGTTATTCTTTTGCGACCCTAATCACTATGCTCTACCTAAATCTTAAATCGATTTAAGATTTAGGTTTCGAATCGAGATGAGATGAACGAGATGAAGGTTTCGTTTCGAAACGAGATGATCTGAAGCTGAAGTTGATCGGATGTGGTAGTGTGTTTGGTAGTGCGATTCGGTAGTGCGTTAGCTGTGTGCACTGACAACAGATTCTGTTGTCACTTATTGTACCAGCAGGCTCTCTCTTCACAGGAGATCCGGACGGACGCACAGCAGTTTGACTTCACATGCAAGGACGCGAAACGGCTGGAGAACCGTTCTTTGAACCGGTACCGCGACGTGAACCCGTATGACCACGCGCGGATCAAGCTCGGCCGCGGCCAGGTCAGTCGGGGACTGGTTAATGGTCGGTGGGACAGTGCCAGTGGGGCGGTCGGTGAGCTGAGGGACAGGTATTGGATGGGTTAGCGAGGCGAATCGGATGGGACAGATCTGTGAAGCATTCCTGTGGGAAGTCGGTCGTTAAGTTCACTGTGTAAGATCCATGGGTAGGTAGGATGAGCTATTCGTGTGCGTTTGTTCGACGCGACGGGATAACAACACATTCTCTCTGAATGGTACTACATGTTTATGATTCGAGCAGTAAACCAAGCTACGATATATTTATCTTGTGATGTTGCTATTGGTTTAGACCACCTTTCCGTTATTAGCCACCTGGGTTTGTCGATAATAACTCTGCATTAATTTTTTCGCGGGCAGGTACCATGCGTTATGTATCGTTACCTATCGCCGCCGTTCTCTGACAGGTGGACTACATCAATGCCAGTCTGGTGGAAATACCGGCGGCGCGGCGGCGCTACATCCTCACGCAGGGCCCGCTGCCCAACACCACCGGCCACTTTTGGCTGCTCGTTTGGGAACAGTGCTCCCGCGCCATCATCATGCTCAACAAAACCATCGAAAAGAATCAGGTCGGTGGCAATCGGGTGCGCCGTGACTGGCAAGGAAAGGGGGCATGACGATGGCGATGTACTAGGTCTGATATGGGGTTGAGGTTTGTCTTATTTCAAAGAAATGCAGATTAATTATCACTCTCCTTCCTCTTTCTTTCTCCTCTCTCGCCCTCGTTCTTTTCTGTTCATTTGTCGCCTTTACTTGTCTATCTTTTTTCTCTCTCCCTCCGTCTGGTATCGCCCTCTCAGTTATTTCTTCATTCATTCAGCAACTAATTCGCTTAATAACGCTTGGTAGTACCTTTGAACCTCCTCTCTCCCTCTCTCCCTCTCTCTCCCTCTCTCTCTCTCCTCTCTCTCCTCTCTCTCCCCTCTCTCTCTCTTCTCTCTCTCTCTCCTCTCTCTCTCTCCCTCTCCCTCTCCCTCTCCCTCTCCCTCTCTCTCTCTCCTCTCTCTCTCTCTCTCTCTCTCTCTCTCTCTCTCTCTCTCTCTCTCTCTCTCTCTCTCTCTCTCTCTCTCTCTCTCTCTCTCCATCTCCCTCAACACCCGATTCCCATTTTCTAAGATTCGCCAGGAAGGGACGTAAGATGGCCGCGTATGCCGCATAATAATAGTAACAAATATAGATGCATTTTGAGGAAATAAAGTTACTGATGCTCTGTTTTTCCTCATGCGTACCTAGTAATTTTCAAATACTTTGTGAGTTCCTGTACAGCACGCAACTGTTGCTACCGTTTACATGATCAGATTTGCGGAAACGGCGTTTAGTGTTTCCCCGAAGGTGACCAAAAATGATTTGAATTCTACGAATAGCCGAGCTGTAATCGTACATACACCTGACGCGAAAGCGGCTTGCCTGTCGCTTCGCTGCCAAGCTGCCAGGCTAATCGCTGGCAAGTTTTCCAGCCGGTAGCCTTAAAGTAGTAGCTTGCGGTGCTTTTACAAGCGTGTTTGCTTTTGTTGACGGCATCTCCACGAAAGTGCATGAAATCAAGATCGGACGGTTGCGGAAGGAATGAAGGGAAATGAAACCACAAGTCCACAACCAGTTGGAGGAATGACGAATGAAGGTGCTGTTAGGATCGCTTATTGCTGGAAATGTGATGCAATGCGTAATACTGGAATGAAGAGTTGCCACCCCAGCTTCCCGATACGAATTTTCCTGTTCATTGCTTCATAAATCATAATACGGACCAAAAATGAACTTACCCCCTCCCATATTTGTAATTTCAGTTTTTCTCTTTCCTCTTTCAACAAGTTATACTTTAGATAGCCATTAGTCAGTCGAATGAGAAACTCATATAATTGCGGCACTTTTACCGGTGCGTTCGGAGAGGATGGAATATTCAATTTTCAAGTGTCACCAGTGCTGGCCGCTGCGCTCTGGTACCTGACCTGACCTGACCTGACCTGCCCTGACCTGCCCTGACCCCCAGATCAAGTGTCACCAGTACTGGCCGCTGGGAGCTGACCTGACCTGACCTGACATGACCTGACCCTCAGATGAAGTGTCACCAGTACTGGCCGCTGGGTTCCGGTACCTGACCTGACCTGACATGACCTGCCCTGACCTGACCTGCCCTGCCCTGCCCTGACCCTCAGATTAAGTGCCACCAGTACTGGCCGCTGGTTTCCGGCGCGGAGGACCGTTTGCAGTTGGAAGACGTGGGTCTGACTGTAGAGCTGGTCAGCCAGACTGACTGTAGCTACTACACAGTTTCCGCGCTCAAGTGAGTAGCGTTGTCTAGCGTTTAGAATTTTTTGACAGCCCGTTCGCACCTAAGAAAGTCGTGTCGATTTCTTTTGTGACCATGGACTCATCAGGTCTGTTCCCGTGGGAGGGGGGGGGGGAGGTGGCCGGGGAGGATGGATGTAGGGTAGGGGTGATGAATTCGTACAGTTAGGTAGCTGCGTAGAGTGTTTACCTGCGGTTGTTCTGGTCGTGATATGACGGAGGATGGTGCGGTGGAGGAAATACCCTGCGATTCCGAACTCTGATGGAAGTAGTGGTGGCGATGGCGATAGCAAGGACAGGGGACAAACTGTTGTGGTTCTTATTGAGGTTAGCGGTACTTCTTTACAGTCAAGTTTCTGCGAGCTTTGATGGCATATCTTGCTTTTAAGACTTGCTGGCGCTTCCCCGAAGTTAGGGTTGCCATAGGTGCTTGCAGAAAGAACTGCTGTTCCTTTCTGCGAGCGATGGCCTGCTTTTGTTATGGAATGCTAGCTAATGAACACATTTATCAGTTGATCTCACCCTACCTACTTGTCTCTCCCTTCGTTTCCCACGTCTGACACTCCCCTCCCCCATTCGCATCACCAGACTGACAGACCAGGAGAGTGGCGAGCACCGCGAGGTACTCCACTACCACTACACGACATGGCCCGACTTTGGCATCCCGCAGTCGCCTCACGCGTTCCTCATGTTCCTGTCGGCCGTGCGCGAGGCGGGTGTGCTCGAGGAGTCGGTGGGACCAGCCGTGGTGCACTGCTCGGCCGGCATCGGGCGCAGCGGCACCTTCAGCCTCGTGGACAGCTACCTGCTTATGGTGGGTGATGGGAGCGGGAGCGGGCTGGGGGAGGGTGGGTAGGAAGGCTTTATGTTTGTGTGGAGGAGGAGGAGGGGAGTAAGGTGTGAGATGTGGGTCGGCTTGCTGGGATTTGGGAACGGGGTAGTTGGCAGCTTTGTCATTTGTGTTATTGTAAGGAAGCTGTGATTAGAATCTGTGGTTGGCCGAAGTGCTGTGGTCTCTAGTTTTTTTTTGTGTCTACCATGGTTGGATATCAGCAGGCTGCTGCAAAATTACAATGGAAATTTGAACCGTGAAAAAATATACTGTGACATTTCGTCGTATTTTTAAGGCATGAGCTATGTATATCGCATGGCATGAACTTCTGTACACCGATCTACGGAGGTCCATGTGCATGCTTATTTCCTATTGAAATATCGGATATCATAAAGCGATATGGGGTTATGAACAAAGTCTGTATCCGGCGAGCCTTAAAAGTCTCGTAAGCAAAAATCGTAAGCAAGCCTGTCTTACGATTTTTGAGTGCTCTGAATGCACTTGACTTATGCAGCATGTTTTCCAGTTTCCACTGACTGACCCGTTCCCGCTGCCTCTTTCCAGCTGGAGCGTGGCTGTGTGGACGGCCAGAGCATCCAGAGCGTTCTGTTGACCATGCGCCGGTACCGCATGGGCCTCATCCAGACGCACGAGCAGCTCAAGTTCTCCTACCAGGCCATAGTGCAGGGGGCACGGTCATTGCTCAAACACAACGCGCTGGTGAGTGCTCGAGAGACGCTCGCGTGGTGTGTGTGGGGGCCGGGGGGGGGGGGAGAGCAAGGTGGGGCTCGTAGTCGAAGGGGAGAATGATAAGGAACATTGGATGTTGGAACGTGACTGGGCGTTGAATTCAGGGTAGAGTTTGATAGGTACTATAAAGTACGCATTTTTTTTGCTCTTTGGTTGGCAATATTATAAGTAGTTTTACTTTTTTACTTTCAGGAAAAACGTTTTATGTGTAGTTTGACACGTATAACAAGCAGCTGTATTGGACAGTATCATGTATTTTTCGGGCTACTGCGATCCGCCATAGCTCCACTGTTATGTTGTGTCATGCGTCGTCAATGTTTTGTTACAATTCTCGCAACTGCCACTGTAGCCCTCCCCCGTCATGTCATCGATGACAGCACGTTGCAGTGATAGTAGTGTGGTGCCGAGATTCTACGAACGTCCTGCCGGTGCTGTGTTTACGGGACCCTGTGACGCTGTGACTCACTGTGTTACACCCTGTAACACTCGTAGCACTCGTAACTCGCTGTAACACTCGCTGTGTTTCCGTCGGCAGTGTGATATGTTGAACGGAAGCGGCGCATCGCCTCAGAAACGGAAACTGGCGGCCAACGACGACTCGGATGACGAGACGCCGCCTCCTCCGCCGCCGCGCACCGAGTCGCTAAAACGGTCAGTGACGCCGCCACCGCTTCCGCACCCGCCCAGGCTCCCCCCGCCGCCTCCGCCGCCCCCCCCCCCCCTTCCCCACCCACGCTCCCGCCGCCCCCGTCCTAGCCCGGCCGCCGCCTTTGGTCCTGCTCGGTACTGGCTCCGGCTCTGACCTCGCCGCCCGTGTTCCGGTCATTGTCTGGAAGCAGGCGCGATGGGGAGCTCTCGACCTGTGCAAGGTTTTGTGTATGGATACGTCATTTGATGATTATATGATTAGCCTTATCCTCAAGACCTTGTTTGATCGTATAATGTTGGTTCGTTTTTTTGTGTTACATTCCCGTGATAGTGATTGGATGAATTGCACCGTGTTAACTCCCGTCTTGCTGTTTCCGTCCGCAGATCGAAAGCGGTTGAGGAGTCGCGAAATGCAGATTTGAATAATGAGGAGCACCTTTCCGGTAAGTATTTGACATCCAATCCATAACTCTCCCTAAACTGGTCTCTCTCACTCTGCACTGCATCACATACATATGTGTCACCAATTCTTTGTGTCATAATGCAGTTCTGTCACCCTGGCACTCTGTTGTGGCTGGCTGACCCTTCTCCCTGCTTTGGTTGTGGGTTACTGTGGAAGGCAAACATTGTGTTTCCTACGATATCATGGTGGATAACATTAATTTCAGAAGGAACCTGAATTATAGTCGGTCGCAACCACGGTATTTAGATTGTCGTGAGTCATTTTTATCTTATTTGCTGTAAAAATAGATTCTTGTTGCTCAAACAGCCCTCTCAAAAATTACATTTGATCAATACGTGATCACACACGGCATCTCCACTGCAGGTACCAGTCTCAGTACCCATAAACCATCACGTGTCGCTCCATCATCCATGCTAACTAGGTACAGCCCACCGCTAAAGTAATGTGTGGTTTTACCAATCTCAACGGATGGCTTTGACCGACGATTTTTAAATGCGGACTGATTGAAAAGAAGACGTCAATAGATAAAGTTGTAGCTGCAAGGGTGAAGGTACATGTAAGCTACATTTAAAGTCTCGTTGCAGTCTGGCTAATCGTTCCTAGGCTTCAGAAGCAGAACATACCCATGACTGAAACCACACATTACTTCTGCTGTGGACTGTACATCGAATTCAATATAACCATTAGCCCGCGAAGTTCGCTGAAGTGTTCCTTCGCCGTATGCCCGCGATCACAGGCCACTCGGCTCTTCTGAATCGGTATCGTTCCCGGGAAAGGAATGCCTTCCATCTTGTAGGAATGTGAAGGCCATTATTGCACTGGGGGCCAACCGGCATCAGAGCGACTCGTCATTTGATGACGTCATTTTCGGGCGATCCGATGCGGCCCACAGGCCCCCATATAGCTTTACCAGGCATGCGGCAGGTGGTTTGGTTATCATGAGCTGTCCTCATACGCTGGAAGTTCCGCGTATGTGTTTTTTTCGCTGTGAAGGTATTGTTTTTCATGCGCAAATACGCCTTGTTCCCATTTATAAATCATACGTTCTAGAGTTTTTTTTTGGGGGGGGGGGGGTATGGGGCAGTAACGATAAGGTTTCCCGATGATTTCTCTGGTAATGGTTTCCATGTTTCCATCTCCACTGGTGATGGTACCCCTTACCAGGCCGTTACTTTGCAATGGTCCTATGAGGGAGGGACGCGGTTTGCCCTGGTCTGAATGGAACTGATGGACTGCTCATTTCAGCGAGGTGGCGGGCCGCCTGGATGTCTTCTGTCGTAGGTATTTGGCTTCCTGGGTGATTGCTCTTTCTCTATCTTTCTCCTTTTCTCTGCCAACTAACTGCAGGATAGATGTGTGTTACAGTCGTCTAGAAGAGGGTGATTCTTTTCGCTTTTATCAGAAGAATGTGCATCAGTTTATGCGAACGGAATGACTGGACTCTCATTAGGCCTTCCAATCCACATACAACTCGCTAGGATCCGCCAGTTTCCACGCACGACGTACTGACTATTGGCAGCGCTCAATCGCTGCCTGATCGTGCCTCGGAGCGGGTCGCAACCGGTCGCAACACTCCACTCCCCCCCCCCCCCACCAGCCGTGATCGGGCAACTTCCGCCCCCCCCTCACCCCCCGGATGTGGCTGACGCGACTGCCAGAGGCGCCGCGACTGGGGAGGTCTCCCCCAGCCCCCTTCCTGCCCCCTCCATTCCTGGGACTCCCTGTCAGTCGCAGGATGTCACTGGAAGTGACGATCAACAAATGCACAGAGATAGACACTGTGGGCGTTCGGAGGAGCGGGATGGTTGCGATGCGGGTTATGTCATGGATAGGAAGAGAGGTCTCGTCTTATCTTATTTTCTACCTTATTTTCTATCTTACCTTCTACCTATTTTTCTAGGTATGAGAAAATCTGAGGCGTTGGCTTTGCGCCGACATGCAACACTCGTGTTAGTTTTTCTAAATAATTATTTTTGATGCTTGTGGTCACATTTTACAACGAAGCTTTCTAATTAAATCGGCTATACGACATCTGTACTTTAAGTAAACGGTTCGATGAAATTCCCCTTATCTCTAGTCCAGCCAGCTCACATCATTTTGCTTCCCCGAACTGTAAGCGTAATTGATGAAAAGATTACGAGTATATACGCCTTAGATGAGGTACCTATATCACAACGAACCTCGGTTAGGATTTTCTATCGCTCATCATTTACAGATATATCAATTATAATTTTTAATATCAACGCCAAGGGGTGTACTAGAGTGTATTTTGTTTAGGGGCCGTGGATTTCCCGTGGAGCTACCATTCATGTGAAATGGTGTCTTCCCGGCGACCAAACGCTGCACGGACAGCGATGAGCGGCAGGCCCTTCAGCCTATGAAACAAAGGTGCATGCATTAACCGCAAGATCATTGTCTATGAAGGTCCGCCAATTTTTGTGCTGGCTGTTCACTATGTAAACCATTTCGCGGAAAAGTTGTTGACGTGAGCGGAAAACTCGGCCATTTTGCACCTAATTATGCGCGGTTTGTGGGTTTTGTATGGAAGCATTCGGCACTTGGCCCGCCGGTTACTGCACATGCGTGACGCGCTTCTGCGATCCGTCCCGCAATTCATTCAGTTAAACGTAAAGGGGATGTCGAGTTCACTAATCGGTACTCATTTTTATCCCATTTTCCTTTCGAGCCAATTTTTTCTTCACTGCCTATGCTAAGGCAATGGTATTGGCATCGTTTATCCCATCCAGTATAATTGTGTGTTATTCATGACAGATATGTATAAAAAACGACAATACATATTATTCAAATACGCAAGAAAAGTGCAAAGCTTTCGGTATTAAAATACTTTGATCATTACATGTGTATACTAATGGACGGGCGCGGCTTAATGGAGGTGGGACTTGAAACCATCTGATTACGGAGCGAGCGAAGCGAGCGGAGTCTTTCCTTAGATTAACGGAAATTTCTGAGTATGAGCGGCCGGCCGGCCGGCCGGCCGGCCGGCCGTGGGGACGCTCTTCAAAAGCTAATATCTTAGGAACGGGACATCCGATTGACAAGCGGTCTTCTTTACTGAATGTCACTTGGACGTAAAAGTTCTGTGGTGTGATGGCCACCATGCGTTCTTGCCAACCACCGCACGTGGCGCGTGGTAAAGTTGGCCATTTTTTAAGAACCCCCAAAATTGCAACCTCAATAACGGCACAACGGTTGGGCCGATTGAATTGAAACTCGGTACACAGTTAGGTCTCCATCAGATAATTCATCTGCATGTGTTAAGGTTGGGGTGCTGCTGCACGTGCGCACGTGCAGGGGTCGTTTCCAGATCTCGAGAACGGCTGGACCGATTGCGCTCAAATTTGGTACACGGTTAGGGACCAGTTAGTAGGGTGCCGTGCACAAGTCAGTTGGGACCCATTTTGCACGTGCGCACGTGCAGGGTGCCGCTGCCAGATCTCGAGAACGGCTGGGCCGATTGTGCTCAAATTTGGCACATCGCTAGAGACCGGTTAGTAGGGTGCCGTGCACAAGTCAGTTGGAGGTACCCCTCGAAATTTCGCACGTGCAAGGCCCACCCTCTCGCTCGCTCCGTTAGTCGCCCCATAAGGCGTTATACTGGTCTTATAATGCCAGGGCGCGAGGAAAATGAAATCTTGTAAAATTGGAGGTCAGCGAGTAAAATGGGGGCTTTTTGGGGAGTCAAGAGAAAAAGACTGCAATTCGTGTGTGAACTGAAAACATTGACATATTTGCCTGCCTGCCTGAATATATCTTTTGTACTTTAAAATGCCATCTTCAATTTTACTGACTTATTATTCACGCACAAACAACTAAAATGGATATTTCTTCATTTTGGTTTACCTACACATGCAGTGATCAAGGTAGGTATGTATTTCAATACCGAAAGCTTTGTAGGGAAGACCCGGGAGGTATGGGCCGGTTTTGTGAAAAGGCCATTTTCTTCCAGTGGGCAGTTGCTAGACCCGGTTTTTTACCCTGTGTACGTGAAATTGCCTTTCGCCTGCAACGTGTGCCTGATATTAGGCATCTGGGATCAACTATTTTGTCTCCAGATAACTTTCAATAAATCATGTGCTTTTTCGATCCATCAAAATACACCGGGAGGTATGGGCCATGGCCCGGGAGGCATGGGCCGGTGCCATGTTTCATATTATTTTCTCGACAATGAGAATAATACACGTAGCTGGTATCTAGTATCTACCTTGATCTCTCTTAGAACCTAGGAACCGCATAAGCGACCAACAGCTTACTTCATGGAGGTCACTTGGGCCCATATGTATTTTGGTAAACTCAAGCATGTACCATGAAATAAGATAGATAATACTTTTCTGTTCGAATGAAATTTGGAGTTAAATTTTCGACCTTGCGCGACAAAAATAAAACTTATTGACGGGGACATTCAATGAAAGCATCTTTTTATTTATTTAGGATCAACGGGGCGGGTGGCCCGAACCTCCCGGTTAGGACGCCAGAATGTGCTTAGCATCTCAGCTCAAAATCTTGCAAGAAAGCTTCAAATTGTCTATCCAGTCTTAATTTGCATGCTTTAAACTTTATGTCAGCGATGGTCTGACATCATTAAACGAGCCTGGTTCAAATTTATCACAAATTTTCTGTATGTACCGTATTTTACTCGAAGAGGGCAAAAACACTTTATCACCGCTCATTGCCAAAGAAGATTGAGAAAGATTTTGAAAATCACGTGGGATGTATAACGGAATGGCGGCTACCAGTTAACGCCGTCAAATGTGTGAAAATACGCAACACTTCTTCAAAACTGCGATGGCCCATACCTCCAGGGGGCCCATACCTCCCGGGTCTCCTCTACCTACCTTTCTTGTGTATTTGAATAATATTGTCGTTTTTATGTTCATCCGCTATGACATGGAAATTGCTATTTTTGCCACTTTGTTCAACACTGGATGATAATACTGAACACGAACAACATTTTGCTCAACACGAAGTCTCACACAAAAGTGAATATCCTCCCTTAGCTTTTCGGTCTGGCTTAGTTGTCGCATTTGGTCTAGAAAACCTCTCACATTTCTGCATGCTCCAATACCTTAATTGTTTCCCGTCACAAGGCACGAATGGGTTAGTAATTTGTTCGCATGACCTATAATCTTTTTTTCGTTTCGTCTTTGTTATTGTGTTTAGTCGTATTTTTCGTCAATCCTTTAGCACTTGGCACTTTTTTCGTTGCATTTTCTTGGCTCATTTGTTAGCATCTACATTTAATGCCATGAAGTTTGCCTTTTGTTCGTCGCTTTTTTCTTATGTGCTTTTGTTTTTATGTTTTGTATGCCAATTTATTTACTATTTTTATTACACAGATGACAGATCGCAATCCAAAGATCATTTCATTAGCAATTTGGACCCCTCATGTCACGCTTTTCATTTTGTGGTTGTCACTCCTTGTAAAGATTTATAGGACAAAGCAGCCTTCCCAATTCATTTCATAGCATTCACAGTAGGTACACTGTTTTGTACTCGCGAGATTCGAGGAAGCCCAGGCTTCAGTTTCCATGTTTTATGCGTTGCGTAATGATACTCCGAGTTTGAAGCATTGATCTTCCGAGATAAATTCCTCCAACCAAGTAGCCTGCGAAAGCACTCCTATAATGGGCGTCAATGACTAACGAGCAACGTTGATTGGACTTGAAAAACGATAACAAAAATTTGTTGCCCTAGTCATTTGTCATCGAAATTATGCTTTTCGACATCAACGAATGTTACGCTTTCTCCGGAAAAAAATTCGGGGAACAGAGTGTCTGCGACTGCGTATTGTGTCTCAGTCTCACCAACCTCACTTGACACTTCAATGAACTACCCGCCAGTCCCTGTCACTCTAGTTTGTAAACTACACCGTTTACTGACTCCCCGACCCAATCATCCGTGTTTACAAGACCGTGCCAATTGGCTAATTGCTGTGTGTGTCGGGTCCGTCGGGTGTTGTGACTCGTCCCGGCGCGCTGTGTATGACTCGACCCTGCTGTGTATGTGTGTGTACTCGTCACTGGTCGCTTATCGCTGTGTGTCTCAGGTCCGTGGGGTGTTGTGACTCGTCCCGCTGCGCTCTCAGACTCCGTTCTGTGTGTGTGTGCTCGCTAATTGCTGTGTGTCGGGTCCGGTGTGCTATGACCCCCCCCCCCCCCGGCCCGCTCTCAGACCGTGCTCTCTGTGTGTGTGCTGACAGCACGCCGTCTGTCGCAGACTCGACCGAAGAGGAGGCGCCTCAGCCACAGCCTCAGCTCGCCCCGTGCGCCGGCCTCGGGCGAACCGCCGGAGACGGAGAGTCCGCCATCGGCGCAACCGCCGACCGGCTGCCCCGCCTCGTCGACGCCCCGCTCCTGAACGACGGGTGAGCTGAGAGTGGAGGGAGATGAGATATAGAGGGGGTGGGCGGGGAGAGATCATAGTGATCATTGTGGGTAGGGTGGTAATGTGTTGGATAATGGCGGAAGAGACTTCGATTTGAAGGATGTAAGTTGTATGGGCGGGGTATGGTTTGCCAAAAGGATGTGCTTTTGCTTGTTTGGTTTCCCATATACTTGCTCTCCTTTCCTATACGCATAAGTTTTAATTATATAGTCGACGACAGGAGTTCGAAAAGTGATTAACGTGCCATAAGTTATCTCTTCATTCCGATTTATTAGACGTATGTTTGAAATGGGCCGTTTTCATGGGTTGTGCTCCATGCTGCTCCGTGCCGTTCACCGGCTCTGTTGGCCGCTCTCTGACGCCCCTCGCTCTCCGCCGGCGGCAGGAACAGCGGTCTGCGCCAGCGACGCGTGCGGAAGGCGCAGCTGGAGCAGCGTGTCGAGGAGATGCGCCGCAGACAGCTGGAGCACGAGCTGTGGCAGCGGCGCAAACAGCAGCTGCGCCCGCTCGGCTACACGGCGGCGGCGCTGGGCGGCGCCGTGCTCGTCTACCTGATGTGGTCGCGCTGGTTGTAGCGCGCCGGCCGGTCCCGTGCGGCAGTACAAAGGGCCGGCCGCGCCGACCGTACTCAGCCGTCAGTGGCGCAGCGCGGCGCTCTCCATAGGTGTCGCGCGCGCGCCGTCCGCGCCGCCGCCCGCGCCCACCGTCACGCGTGCGCGCGCGCGCAGAATCGTGCCAAGTTCGAGAGCGGGGTGAGCCGGCGCGCCGCGCGGCGGCCCGCCCGCCGCTCCTCCCGTGTCCGCCCCCTCCGCACCGCGGCCGGAGCAGCGGCGCCGCGCCGCCCCGGCGGTCTTTTACCTTTTCATACTGTTTGTGTTGTGCGCGCCCGAGGGAGGCGGCGGCCGGATCCCGTTATTTTTTATATAACAGATGGGAGGCGGGCCGGCCGGCTCGTCGGCATCGGCGCTGCTCGGCGGCCCGTGCCGGCCGTGCGCACCCGACACACGTGTTTTGTAACCACCGGGCCGTCACGCGAGGTTGATAAATACACGTATATTTTAGAAACGAACACGCGCGTCTCAATCGGAGAATCACATCGATAGGCACTGAGAACGGATTTCTGGAGCGAAGCACGTGCCGAAAGCTGAATGAATGAATTAATGAATGAATGAATTAATGAATGAAATATGATAGGTTTGGTCTCCAGCAATCTCATTTTCAGTTCGCTTAGATCAACTTTCACTTTATGTTCATGCCGAACACAGCTGTCCTGACATATGCCCTCGTCCTGGCTACGGCGTTACCACTGCCGACCTTCCCCGTATATCGGCCTTGCGCGTCCAGCCTGTGACCGTTTCACGGCCGTGTGGGGCCCGACGTGTATCGATCGCTCGTTACCCGCTCTTGGGGGGGGGGGAGGGGATCAGGGCAGGGGCAGTTGCGACTTGCGATGGAGTCGTTCAGGGGTCGGCGGGCTTTCAGGTGTGGTGCTGATTCATTCGGCATTGTGAGTACGCGACATACATAGGAGCTCATGGAAGTTCACGTGGGCTGAGTTTATCACCTGACCGTACTGACCTGAGGTTGAGGGATGACTTTTCGCTCAGTAATCAGAGAGCGACAATTGATGTGGTAATGCTCATGGTAGAGTTCACCATGCGTTCACATGCCTTACTCTGAAAGAAACTTAAAAGTTAAAACTTTGCTAACAATGCTGTTATACTCGTAGGCTTGAGATGGTACACGCTAGCAACCGAACCCATCGCAGTAAGAATCAAGAAACCCACTCATCCCCACCCACAATATTGCAGAACGAAATTTCTCACACTCCATTGGGTTCGATCATTCATTTCTCATTAACCCCCATCAGGCGTAAGGTATGAGCACTAACGCAACAGTCAATAATCTCTTCCTCCTCCTCGCCATTACGCTTCTTTCGTATATCAGCCACCAGATACCACTAAAATTTAACCCCCATCCTCATCCATTTTGGCGTCACTTGCCTACACCCATCACTATCACACCATACAACCATACCCCTCCGGCCCGCGCTCCAACCAGCGTAACCAGTGCTGCACGGCCGGCCCCGTCAAGTATCCATGTCAACATTGATTGGCGAGGCGGTGCGTTGCGGCGGGGCGCCCGGCACCGGCCCCGTCTCCATGGTTTGTAGGTAACACCGCCGGTCGGGGCGCGAGGGACCGTAGGGCTCACAGTGGTCTGAGGAAGAGAGACACCCAGCCATGGCTCGGGCCGCCGTCACCGCCGGCCTGCTGCTGCTGCTGCTTTGTGGCGCGGGTGAGTAGTTACTGAGGGTCGGTGAGGAGAGGGGCTCGTGTGGGGAGTGTGAGAGTGGTTGTATTGTACGCAGGCTAGGGAGGAAGTGTGAGCGGTACGGAGGGCTGATCTCAGGGTTGTTGGGATTGGCTTGAACGACGGCAGGGTAAATACTTTATATTAATCGTACAGAGCACTTATCTTTCGACTCCTTTCGCGTGTATTCTGGGCGCAAAATGACCTCGTAGTCGGCGCGCCCCTAACCCCCAACAAACAAACAACTTTCGCGTGTATTCAGTCTGTTCTATCTGCAGAAGGCATGATGCTCGTTTCAAAGTCCGAATATGTTCAGTATTATATCTTGATCACGCCAGCCAGCCTTTTCAAAAGGATCACTACTTCCATACCCCCTCTCCCAGCCACCTCCTCCACTAATTCACCCATGCCCCGCTCTGGCGCAGCGTTCGCCAAGCACTGCGTGGTGGGACAGGCTCGCGAGGCCACTGACGATGACTTCGAGGACCCCAACCAGCTGTACACGTGCGCCGAGGACCGTCGCTGCTGCACCGAGGACGCCAAACCCTCCTGCTGCGGCGACATGGACGAACACGAGGAGATCATGCGCCAGGTAACGGTCACAGGTCGGGAGGTCGTGGGGTCGGGAGGGGTCACAAGGTCATGTGTCATGATGGGTCAAGAGGCTATGGGGTACGAACCGCGGAGCTAAGGGCTACGAGGTTGCGAGTTACATGTTTGTGATGTCGTTGGGTCATCAGGTCATGAGTCATCAGGTCATCAGGCATGGGTCACGAAATCGAGGGTCACGGCTCGAGGTCATGAGACCCGGATCACGAGGGAACATGTCACGAAATTATGTAGAATAGGCCAGTGGGTTCCGTGTCATCAAGGAGCCTGGAACAATGAATAGTGGGTGGCGAGTTATTCTGATTTGCTGTATGGTGCTCCTGTTCTGGCTAACCGACTACGCTGTGTCGATAGTCAAGATGCCCTGCCAGAGATGACGTTACCCACCACCCCAGTGGCGTCATCCACCAATCCAATGACGTCACCCTTCCCCACCCTTCCCCAGGTGAAGCTCTGGGGCGGCGTGATCGGCGTGATCGTGCTGTTCGGCCTGCTGATGTGGTACGCCCGCTGGGACGGCCAGTGCTGCGACGAAGACACCAAGTGCTGCGGCTGCTGCTGCCGACGCAAGGACAAGCACCGGGGCAACCAGAGGCGAGTGGTCGCTATAGCGGCAGTCGGTCCGTCCTGGACGCATTGAGGACGGATATAGTCATAGAGGAGCGGCGGGGTGTGGGGCGACTTTGGAGCTGTAACGGGATACAAAGCCTATCCAAGGATTTGATCGATTATATCGTATAAGTTTCAAACCTGGAAGTTCATGTAGGCTTGTTAAAATAATCGACAAGGCCTGTCTAAAAAGAGTACATTTCCGCTGGCTGATATTACCACCGTCATCGTTGCTGACCAACATCTTCCTTTTCCAGGGCGCAAAACATGGGCGCTCCTCCGGGCATCGGAGGAAACATGTCCAAGTCTGACTCGTCCAAGGATCTGCTGATGCACGAGCAGGAGACCTACAGGCGTTAGTGGGATCCGGACCATCCGGACCAACACACCAGCCGGGCAGGACCACTGACCATCTGGACCAGAACAAGCTGGGACAATCAGTAACAACTGGCTGCAACTCGAGGAACCAGGGATGCGGAGCCGGAGCCGGAGCCGGAGCCGGAGCCGCCGGAGCCGGCATATTTTGCCCGGAGCCGGAGCCGGAGCCGGAGCCGTGAAACAATATAGCCCGGAGCCGGAGCCGGAGCCGGAGCCGTCAAAAAAGGGGGCGACTCCGGCTCCTTTTCTTAAGAGGAAACAATTATTTACCTAGTTCGGTTTGACAGTTGAAGGCGTGAAACAATGTGGTATTCAAAATAGCCTTGTTATACAAATACAGAAGCAACGTGTACCAATCCCATCGTCTTTTTTCTTCCACCCGTATTTAATTGATCGCATAGGGGATGTACTGAGTAGAAGCCGGAGCCGGAGCCGCCGGAGCCGGAGCCGCCGGAGCCGGATCATTTTACTCGGAGCCGGAGCCGGAGCCGGAGCCGCCATGACATTTCACCCGGAGCCGGAGCCGGAGCCGGAGCCGATTTTTTTCTCCGGAGCCGGAGCCGGAGCCGGAGCCGTCTGAAATTTCCACGGCTCCGCATCCCTGCGAGGAACTGTACCAGAGGATGGGTGGAGAAAGAGGCTTAGTTTTATGGGTTTTACGGGTGATTCGCCGATGAAGAGGGGGGGGGGGGGTGGAAGGAAGATGTCGGATATCCATCGACTAGAGGGAAACAAGACAACCAGGGGGAAGGGTTACAATGAGTGGTGGATATGCAACCTCGCGGACGGGCAAGATTGTTGAAAGTAAATAAGCATTGTTGAAGTTGAAGCAAGCACTGTGCAATGATGCACTCACTGCGTTGACGAGTCCATGTCGGTGGATACGGCTGAAATTAACACTTCCATAGCTTAAAAATTCACTAGCATCCATCTTTGGACACCTATGCTGTAACGGCACAGAAGACGTCAGGCGAAGATAGAACTCTGACCGTTCCTATTCAAAACATCAAACACCAAGACTGGACGCCATCTTCATTGGAAACCCAAAACATATCAATATTAGAAAGTGAAACGCGCGTTTTTTACACGTCTTTTGTGAGCATACGTGCTTTTCAATATTTCACCATGACCGTCACTCGCGTCTGCGGTACGAATCTTGCTCATACACAGGTCAAACTGAACAAACAGTCGTGCCTATAGATGGTACGAAAATAACTCAACTTGAATAAGTTATCTGAAGCTTTAATTTTGCAGCAATCGGCAAGACGCGTGTATGTATCCGTCCTGTTACATTGTTCGGGTATTTATGCAAACATCGATGTCTTCAAATAAATTCAAAATGGACAGACATGTGACGAATTCAGTTCCGAGTAAAACAGAGTGACGGTTGTAAGGGCATACATCATACGCTTGCACTCGAACGAAAAAAAAAAATGCTAACTTTACTCAGCTTGACTCAGCTTTGCTAGCCCACGGTGATCTCAGCTAAAGAGCTCAAAGGGCCAGGAGGCTACTACCACACCCATTTATGAAAAAATCACCCCTCTTTTCCACCGCCCAGCAAATTACCCAATCACGCACTTTCGTTAGCGATAACCATATACGTGTATTGATTGTGACACGCAGAGTACACGGGGTCGGCAGCTGCGGCGGGCTGTCGGTACGATTTGACCCGCGGCGGCGGCACTGCACGCGCAGACGAGCCTGATTAAACATTGATCATTCGTCAGAGAGGCGGAGTCGAGCGAAAAACTGCCTCTCAATTACCGGAAAACTAGCAACAATAATTCGTGCAGAGATTAACACAAACACAACGCGAGAGGTATTCCGATCCAGGTCGTGTGGGGCACGGGGCATGGGTCCTGCGTGCGGGGAACTCCTGAACTCCGGGCCAGCAGTTCTCAGCACGAACTCGTCACATGCCGTTTCCCACGGAATGAAGCAAAAAATAATCACCCCTGCGCGGCCAGTTTTAATCAGCGGGGTATTTCTATCTCAGCCGAGAGCCGGCTCTCCTGGCAGCCGAGACAGTGCGCGGCGCGGCGCGTCACTTGTGGCGCACCGCGGCAGACCTGACTAATAACTGCTTTTGTACGTGAGTGAGCGAACGTTGAACTGAGGTACAAACGAGGGTGACCTGGACGCGGCATCACAGCGGCAGCGATGTGCGCGGAAGACGGCGGCCGCCGCCCCGTACAGGAACACGGCTCTGTTAATCACACGACGAGTAGGAGCGGCGCGCGCAGCGCCCGCGGCTGCCATCCAGACGAGACTATGGTAAATAAAACTAGCCGCGGCGGGATCCGCGCGCCGCCCGGCACAGACAGGCACAACCGACCCCCTCCGTCACCCTCCCCAGGGGGCCGACACCGACCCCAGCAGGCACACACGTCCCGAGCGGAGGCTCTCACCTCCCCGGCGCCCTTATGGCCGCCTCTGTTCGAGGCGCATCTTCTTGCTGGAGTTGGTGCCGTCCGTGTGGCCGGCGGGCGGCGGCAGCGGCGGCGCCACCGCCTGCAGTAGGCGGTGGGACGAGTGGGCCCCGAACAGTACACACAGCAGCGCTACGCCGTAGCCGGTGGCTCGGTCACCCTGCGATGAGGCATATCGGGGGTCAAAGGAGCACTAAACCACTGTCAGAGGAGGAGCGCAAAGGATCACGCCGATGCTGGCATCTAGTCGCCGCGGACGGACGAGGACACAATATGCTGAAACTTATCGAGTTATGATGGAAGCGTGAACCAGAAACTTCGAGCATATATCGAGCAAGCTTGAAGCGATGGACAGACACAGCACAACAACAGTTTTATTACTTCAGTCGACTTCAAATCCAGCTGGAATCCAGCTAGTGTAGCATGAGACAATTCGTCTGACATTACAGCAACATGAAAACAATCACATCATAGCTTGGCATTCTAACCCAATCTGATCAGCCCCTCCACATCCACAACAGGATACACCACACACCGACCGCGGCGCCACCTACCGAGTGGACGGGCGATGCCATGTCCACATGGATCCACGAGCCGGGGAAGTCGAAGCCGAGGTTGGCGGCGATGAAGAGGCCGGCGCACGAGACCAGCGCGTTACTGCGGTCCTGTCGGGTAGAGAGGGAGGGGAGGGTGAACCAATGCGGGGAGAGGGAGACGTGCGGAAACCGCTACACACACAGCCCCGTCGGGAACCGGGTGAATAACGTGTTGACATACTGCCGTTATCACAGTGCATAGACCTCTGTATACATGGACTGGACACAGAAAATCCGGCCATGACCACAGCGGCCCTAAAAGTAAATGCTTATAACTCGAGAGTCAGTTCACCTACGACATCCATTTTTTCACCGCCGCATAGCCCCATTCATTGAAAATGATGGGGATCATCCGCCGAACCGATGCGGTGTAACGGGGGAGCACCAGCACGTGGCGCGTGAGAGATGTTTGTGAAAATGGCGTGACAGTATCTCGGGAACGGCTTGACCGAATGAATCCAGATTTGGCACACAGCTAGGTATTACACACCTGCCAATAACGCATGTCCCAATTTTGAGGTGCCGATGCACGTGCGCACGTGCACACCCCTTTTTTGTATCTCAGAAACTACTCGTCCGATTTCGCTCAAATTTTGTATACGGCAACAGCCTAACAACCATTGCTGGTTCACACCTCAAGCAAGGGGTGCGACTGCACGTGCGCACGTGCACACCCCTTGTTCATATCTTGGAAACTAGCCGCCCGATTTAGCTGAAACTTTGTATCTGCCTCCTAAGAGCCAAGCTAAACGTTCCTGATACTCATCGCAAGCTTGAATTGCCGCTGCACGTGCGCACGCGCCACGCGCGCACCCCAATTCGTGGCTCGGAAACTAGCGGTTCCGTTTTGTTTTGCTGAGATCTTCTACGCAGCAATGTACTCCATAACCACTGGCGACTTATACATTTGCGGATCTTAGAAACTTATTTCCCAACTGGACTGAACTTCTGCATTATCAGGTGCGGCTGCACGTGCGCACGTACACACCCCTTGCTTATATCTTGGAAAGTATCCGTCCGATTAAGCTGGAATTTTGTCTATGCCTCCCCAAGAGCAAAGCTAACTGTTTCTGATTCTCGTCACAAGCTCGAAGTGCCGCTGCACGTGCGCACGCGCCACGCGCGCAACCCTAATTGGTAGCTCGGAAACTAGCAGTTCCGTTCTGCTGAGATCTTCTACGCAGCAATGTACTCCATAGCTTAACCACTAGCGACTTATACACTTGGTATCCTAGAAATTTGCTTTCGAACGGGACTGAACTTCTGTATAACGATGAAGTTAATTGGCAGTAAAAGCACATGCATTGTAAAATATATGTATTGCAGATCAGACTGAGCCCACTTAGTTATACATAGCTGATAGTTCTTCAGCACCGAAAAAAAATCCAGCTCATCAACCAGTAGGTACCCACTCATCGGTTAGCTGCACGATGTAGCATTTTCACATGACAAACAGCAAAGCAAACAACAGAGCTAACAACAATGCAGGATTCACTCGCGGACGCTTTATCAATTAGCTGTGCGATTTTTTTTCGAGAAAACTGGCTCACTGTTGAACCGCCCAATCCCGGGAAGAGCTGTTGGGTACTTGTTCGGGTGGAAGAGGTGCCGTTTTTCCCCAATCAGTCACCATGAAGACAGGGCACTCGAAAAAGATGTGCTAGAGAGTATATGCTTTCCCGCGTCACACGGCTCACCGACCCGCCAATGGTCGAGCACTTATTGCACTTCTCGAAAAGGTTCCTTGAAATCCGCTGTAATAATAGCAAGAGCCCAACAGTGGCTATGCCCAACAATGTAATGGCTTACACAGAGCTGTTAGATGTCCGCGGATAAGTGCTGGTGCATGTCATAGTCTTCCACCACCAATGGCGGTAGGATGAAAATGGGAAGAAGGATGGAGCGGGATGGCATTCCATTCCGCGCTGACGGCTACTGAGCTCTTGGTTGCTAAACTGGATCATCATGCAGTGTCCCTTGTGCGGTCTGGGTGTTCGTCAAAATGATGACAGAAAAGTACACGCGGTAGCGTTTAGCCGATACACGCCACCCTTGTGGGCCATGTAGCCGGTGGCCAAGGCCGCATTGGATGTCGTGGGTCGTGGTCCCCCATGACGGTGCGATACCAGCCAGCTGGCCAGTCCGCCTGCCACCTCTTCTTGGTGGACCGCGCAACGACCTGCGTGAGGGTGCGGACGTCAACCGGGGTCATCTGCTGGGACAGCCCGGCCGCTTCCTTGGCCAGGGCGTCCGCCCTCTCGTTGTCGGCGAGTCCACAGTGGGCTGGGGCCCATTGCAGCTGTATTGTGCTGCCGTCAGTCGTCAGGC